ATCCAATAGAGCGGCCCGGCATCATGAGCATCAGCTCCCAAGCCCTTCATGGCATCCAACCAGACAGGCCAGCATCATGAGCATCAGCTCCCAAGCCCTTCATTCCAGTGGTCAGCATCACGAGCGCCAGCTCTGGCCAAGCCTTTCACTGCATCCAATAAAGCGGCCCGGCATCATGAGCATCAGCTCCTAAGCCCTTCATGGCATCCAACCAAGCAGGCCAGCGTCATAAGCATCAGCTCCCAAGCCTTTTCCAGTGGTCAGCATCTAGCCAAGCCTTTTCATTGCATGCAATCGAGCGGCCGGGCATCATGAGCATCAGCTCCCAAGCGCTTCATGGCATCCAACCAGACAGGCCAGCGTCATGAGCATCAGCTCCCAAGCCTTTCATTCCAGTGGTCAGCATCGTGAGCGCCAGCTCTGGCCAAGCCTTTCATTGCATCCAATAGAGCGGCCCGGCATCATGAGCATCAGCTCCCAAGCCCTTCATTCCAGTGGTCAGCATCACGAGCGCCAGCTCTGGCCAAGCCTTTCACTGCATCCGATCGAGCGGCCCTGCATTATGAGCATCAGCTCCCAAGCCCTTCATGGCATCCAACTAGACAGGCCAGCATCATGAGCATCAGCTCCCAAGCCTTTCATTCCAGCTCAGCATTTCATCGCATCCAATCAGACAGGCCAGCATCAGCTGAAAAGCCCTGCATGGCACCCAACCAGACAGGCCAGCAACAAGAGCATCAGCTCCCAAGCCTGTCGTTCCAGTCAGCGGTCAGCATCGCGAGCGAAAGCTGCAACCAAGCCTTTCATTGCATCCAACCGGGCGGCCCCGCATCATGAGCATTACCTCCCAAGCCCTTCACGGCATCCAACCATGAGCATCAGCTCCCAAGCCTTTCATCCCCACGTGACCTGCCATGCCATTCTTTGCATTCAATCTGGCGGGCCTGCATCATCAGCGTCAGCTCCAAACACCATCTCTTCAAATTTGGCGGGCTGGCAAGATGAGCATCAAGCCTTTCATTCAGCGCTCCCTGAGCACCCCAACAGCATTCAACAAGGTCCAGAGCGTTGTTGAGGCACTCAGGAGGTTCAGTTTTCTGTGACCTTGCCCCCACTCGCACGCCACTATGCAAAGGTTTCCCCCAAACTCTCCCCATACTACGCGGCTTTAAGCGCAGCCACCGTAAAAACTCCAAACTAGAGAGCATAAGCACTCGACGCGCGATCTTCCGAGGACCGCGCAGCGTGAAGAAAAACAAGCTGCCCCTCCAGCACCAAAGGCCTAAGCCGCGACAAGCGACCTGCACACCTGTGCGTGAACGCAGCCCTGACCCTAGCGGCCCTAGCAGGTTCTGGGGCAACTGCTTCACCCAGTCAATTGTCATGGCCACCTTTTGATAAGAAACTGACATACATGTGCCGTTGCAACACCGTGCTTTGAGTTGTGCCTGGATGGCGCGTCTGTTCGCTTCCACGGCAACGACGCGAAAGCCCTGGGACAGGAAGTAGCGCCTTGGCTCACACAGGCATAGCCAGGCAGCCAGGCATCGGAGGGCCGCCAACAAAAACAGGCAGCTCAGCCGTGCGCGAATCAGCTCCCAAACCCATGCCTCCCCGATCTCGCGCCGGTCCCACAAGCACAGAGGCACAGAGTCCTGCTCCACTGCTGCGAGCCTATGTCGATGACCAGCGGGGCATCCTCGGCAAAATCCGAGTCGCGATTGAAAAACCCCGACTTTGCCCGTCCTCAGGTTTGCGCAGCCTTTCCGCAGCCCCCAACTCGGCCTCCTCTCATCAAAAGAAGAACCGTGCAGCTTTGCATGGGCTCTTGGCCCTAGGCAGCACGCTGCAGCCTGGATGTGCAAGACTGGGTTAGGACGGTGGTATGGAAGTCCCAGGACGTAAAAGTTGTATGCCACCTGAAACACAGAGAGAGGAACCTTCAGAGCCACGGCCTCGCACCCTCGCCTGAGAAGGGGTGATGCCATAGACTTCGAAAAAGGTCGCCTCAAGGTGCTTTCGAGTCACTGCCGGACTGCCGGCGGTCCGGTCGGGACTTGTGAGCGCAAGTTTGCAGCCTCTTCGAAGGCACAGCCCATGATCAGCGACAACCCTTGCATTGCAGAGCGACTCACCAGCTCTCTGAAGAAGCAACGCATAACCAAAGCCCCGGGCCGATCTCGTAGAAGGACCAGGGCTGTACGGCCTGCATGCTGAGTGCAGTACATCATCTGGTCACATGTCACCATGAAAATTGTCGCCTGGCTTCGCGTCGATGCGAAGAGCGCCAGAATCCAGGCGGAGACGCAGGTCCTAATCGAAGCATCATCGAAAAAGCAGACCTCAGTATAACTCGGACAGATCTCGGTCCCGGGCTCCCTCCATTCTGGGTGCAAGCTCCCCTCCTGGAAGCACCGGACGAAACACCGCACAGACCGCTGACCCCCTAATGGGTGCCAAGGACTCCCGGAGTGGCTTTCGTTGCTTCCAGCGCTCCTGGCCAACCTGCGGAAGCTCAGGGCGCTGGATGTAGAGCAGCTCCTCCCAACGAAGCCGGGACGCGTCTGCGTCAAGGTCCCCGTTCTGATGTTTCGGGAGCTGAGATTGGGATTTGCAGAAGGGACGGAGTTTGTCTTCGAGGAAATGCAGCCATGTGCTCCTGTAGCACGCTGCGTGCCCGGGTCACAAGCCTGGACGTTGCAAGCACTAAGCTTTATCCAACACGACTTGGTCTCCCAGACCTGTGTGTCAAAAGATCTTTGCCAAAGACATAAGGGCAAGGCTGGCGGTTGTCGCAAAGCCAGCACCGGGTCTGTTCAACAAGACGTGCATCGTCCAAGAGCACAGCTGATCTAGTATCAGTCTGACTCATGTTCACAGGTTCGTTTGTCTGCATGCGCAGCAGGAAGCATGTGAAGAAGGGAGCTTTCGACATGGGCACAGACGCTCCGTCGCCTTCTCCTGCCACTCCTGGTCAAGCTTTCAAGCAACTGCGAAGCCTGAGGCTTCTGAATTCCACCTAGCCCGAACTAAGCAGACCTAGCATGCACGGCTCTGACTCCCACTAGCCTGCAACGTCCTGCCAACGACACAGATCCGAACAAGTTCTCATTGAAAAGCCACTCCTCTGAGATTGCCTTGCTACCGATAAACGACGTTCCTGCAGGAAGGTCTTGAACGGCTCCGCTGCACACGCAGTCTGGTGGAAGTACCTCGGAAGGACACCATGTGCGCCACACATCACCACAAAGCGCCTCCGCAAGCAACGCTGCGCATCAGCCTGGGACTCTTGCGGGCAGCCGCCTCCACTGATCTCTGAAGCCGATGGGGCAGCCTTCGCGAAAGGATCACCGGAAGGGGAATGCTCCATGACCGGAAGTACGGCAGAAAGAGCCTCCTCCTTCGCGAAGGTGAGGAGCAGGCCTCATGATAAAATGCAGTGGGGGGTCACACCCCCCGGGCATCTCAGGTCGTCACTGAGCGCCCACGACAATCGAGTAACCATGGCATCATTTCGCCAGGCGAAGGCTTTGCAGAAAGCTGCGATGACCCCAGCTCTATGTCTCAAGAAAGCTGTTCTACTGCAGGATTCCAGGACGTTTTAGCCCAAACGTCGGACGGAACGCTACACTTTCAATATCTTTCAATTTAATATCCTGTTTGCAGTTGGCATGCAAGGCTGAGATAGAAAAGACCGCTGGAGTTGCTGTGACGTAGATGTGCACGCTCCAGGTCAAACGGGCTGCAGGCAGAATGAGGATAACGTTCACGTCACCGCCAGTGAAAGGAGAGATTGGATCTGCAAGAAGCGCTGGTGAACACAGACCTCCCGCAGCCAGCAGACCGCCCACGGTGAGATTCGGATGCGCTGCACCTCAAGTGCTGACACGAGCAGAGAGGGCGCAAAATCCACGGGTTATCTCCGTTCCAGACGACTTGGCCTCCGTGCCGGGCGGAGCCATGTTACGTTGAAGCACAGCAGCAGAGCTTCCCGCTTTGCAAGCGTGCTTGAGTCCACAGAACGGCTTAACCTGCTCTCCTCAGCTCTGCTTTTCGAGCGCTTTTCGTTTGATCCGCAATGCACATCATGCCCAACTGGAAGGAGCATTCCAAGATTGGGGGTTGAGACTACCTCTGAATGGTGCTTTAGATTAACTTTAGATACGCCCTTTCACACCAGGCTGTCTTTCCGTGCCTGTGCATGACATGTACGTACACTCCATGTCCAGGAGCAAAAGGGCTGCATAAAGTTGTTTGAAGTGTGCTGGCAGGCGACGGCGACGAGTCGTGTTCAGTAAACATGCAAATCGTGCTGGGCCACCGCTTCTCAGAGTCTCGGCACGGCCAGGTGGAGCCTGGCACCCAGAGTGTTCAGCAGTGACCCGTGGTGGCAGATCGATCTATAGCAATCGGCACTAATTCCCTCCAGACTCGGCACGCTTGGATGCCAAATCACGTTTGTAAGTCTGCACTGGCGCATGACAGGCAGGGAATCCCGGCTGCAAGCTGATTCAGCTGCACCTTCAACGTTTGCGTTTACGTCTGGAGCTCCCTCAGCCGAGCTCAACTGAGGGAACACCAGCCCTCCCGGGCGGAACCAGTGAGGGGCATGCTCAATTTGGGGTGCACGGCGAGCCAAGAAAAGGGCCCACATGCTGGACGACGGCTTCAAGTGAATTGGTCGTCGAGTCAACGCTTGAACCCTCGTCGAGACTGCAGGCCCATCTTTGGCTGCATCATCTTTGCTGATCCGTGGCCTCAAGATGAGAAGAGCGCTGGCAAACACCCCGAGCTGTCGTCTGACATTCGGCCGTTGCCGGCTGCTCTGAAGGGCATTAACAAAGTTGCTTGGCAACTGGACAGACGCCCCTGGGCGTCAAACTACTGGGGGAAAGCTCAGAGCCAACATACTCCGCATCATGTTTCATATTACGACATTGCGTAGTTATGCCCAAGCCTCCCCAAAAGCTGGCTCGGCATCAGGCTTCACAACTTCACGATCATTCACGATCACTTCCTCAACAACAGGATCACTCGGTTCTGATCGTTGCTTCTTGTCGGAAGTGTAGCGCTGTTAGCACACTGATGACTGGCTTCTGGCTCTCGCGCTCGCGCTCAGAAAGTTGCATCCCATCTCTCGCCTTGGCCGCCGTCTTCCGCTGCCATCATCTCCTCACAGGCAGTGTGGAGGAATACTTACTATGCACTTCTGTGCACTCATGTCTCACGAACCCCAGTAGAAAGTGTCCCGCAAGTTCACGCCAACGCGCGTGGCGCGCCGCTGCGCCAGCCGCTGGAAGGGCGCCTGCTGTGCGGACTGCGACAACCAGCACATACCAGCTGAACGACACGATCTTCGAGCCGACAGTTTCCGCAAAAGAATCTGCCTTGGCCTGCGTGGGGGGTGTCGAGTACGTGTTGTGCCTCAAACCTCCACAAGCCTGGTTGCGCCTCTGTCGATCTTGAACGGTTTGCAGGTGTCAAATCGTGAGTGCACTCAAGGTTCTGTTCTCCTCTGACGCTTCTGCTCAACATGTCGTTCACCGTTCTGCTTTACAGTATGCTGCCACGCCACTTCGGTCACTCAACAGAACGCATGCCTCGCCATCTTCAGCGCCACCGACGAGAGCCGCGTCCTGCAAAGACTTTTGAAGGTATACCGACAGTTTTGCTCACCCCAGTGCGGGCTTACAAAAGTCTAGCCGTCGTCTTTGTTGCGAGGGTCCCTGCAATCATCCGGAGGATCTGCTTGCTCGAGCTCGGCTCTCGAAGTACGGGCCTTTAGGTCAAAGTATTGAGTGCAGTCCTGCAACCGAGCTCCGCCAAGAGTAGCCCGTCTCTGGGTCATGCGCTGGTGCGGTGCCTCTTCCTTCGCAAAAGGACTACTGGCAGTATCGGCAAGGCCCACACGTCTTGGATGAGTTCCATGTCCCAAGCTGCGGCAAGAAAAACGGGCCTCAGCATCACCCGCGGCCAGGTCCTTTCAAAAGATGTCTCAAGGCAAAAACAAACCGGCGACTTCTGATACTCCCCGCCAGGCTCCTGCAGCTTGCTCCCACCCAGAGTGGCTCGGCGATGCCCTGGGCGGCGGCTGGACTCATGGGCGGCCTCCTGGCTCGAAATGTGAGGAAGCCAGCTTTGATTCTGACCGGATCGGGAAATCGGGGCCTGCTTCGAGAGCTGCTTTAACACTTCTGTGTCGCCCGTGCTGATGGCGAAGCTCTTGCGCTGTGCCCTCATCTCTTTGCCCAGCCTTAGGTACTGCAAGCATGGCTCCACTAAAGCATCGAACCCTAAAGCAAAGCAGCTGACCGCTGTCAGCCCACTGTACGTGCAGTGGCAGGATCGCTGCCGAGGGACTGTTTGTACACGAATTGGTGGACCTTGGATGCGAAGGCGGTCATCTCCTCCACGTTGAGCCCCGTAGCGTCGATGTCCTCATCCGTGAAGCCTGAGGGCTTGCTGTCCATCTTTACCTGCGTGTAGAGGCTGTGAAAAGCAGGCTTCGGTATCTTCGGAGGCGGCTGTTTGTGCAACCAGAAGAACTCCTCCAGGAACTTGATGGCCTCGCCAGACGACCACTCGATGCGGCCCGTCCCGTCCTTGTCATGCTTCAGGAAGAGCTTCCGGGTGATCCGGGCCTCGGCTGAGCTCTAGCAAAGCTTCGAAGACGCCACACTCTGACAACCTTTGCTGCTTGGGGTGCAGCTGGGCCCCTGGCGACGTGCTCCGGATCCCAGAGGTCCTCTTCGTCGTAGGTCTCCAAGGTAGACCGACCACGGCTCCTCCTCGCCGCTGCTGCGGAGAATGCGTCCTACCGCCTACCTTGCCGCTTTAGACTTGGAGGGCCGGGGGCGGCTCCTTTTGCAGGGCTGCGAGGTCTCGTTGTAAGTGTCATAGTACTCAGACACCGCAGAGACTTGCCTGAATGCAGAGCTTGCATGGGAGGTTGCAGCGGCTGCTAAACAAGGACCATACATCCACCATCCTAATACCATCGTTGCAAGACTAAGAAGGCTCTCTGAGAGCATGGTTGCCCTTCGACTCGGCAGTCTACGGGACTCGAAGGGCCAGGAACCTCTCAACTGAGCACCTCCGATCGACGTACCGACATGAAGCGGAGAAGCGAGCTGGCAGAATGATCCACCAGTTCACTGAAATGCAATGCAGCGATTCTACATGACTTCAGCTGTTCTAAGGCGCAGAAATCTCCAAAGCTTCGAAACAAGCTTGACCTCTATGTAGAGCTACAGGCATGGATAGCGAAAGAAAAGCCATACTACTTGCAGGTGCGCTGCGACATTGTAGACATTCTGGAGGTCATCGGCTCATCTCTATCACTTGCAGACTGCTCTTCTTCGGACTCGAGGACATAGGACACCGCTGATCCTGCCCTCTGGAAATCCACCGACTTGATCCGGGATTTCTCCCTGCGCTTAGCAGGCTTGTCTTCGTCCAATTCCTCTTCTTCGGGCTGCTCGGAAACAACACTTCCAGGCAGCGACTGCTTTTCCTCTGCGCCAAAGAGCACGGTTTTGCGAGCCTTGTGCGCTGAACTAGACGGCTCTGTCTGGACAGCTGCGTTCTCAACCTCTCGCGACGGCACGTGCCGCAGTCGCACGCGAAGCGTCTGGACTTCATCCTCAAGGTGGGCTGAGGAAGCCTCTGCATGCCTCAGCTGAACTTGTAGCTTCGCTGATGCCGCCTGTGTCTCTACCGCGGCGGCCTCAACATGCTTCAACCGCACCTGGAAGGCTTCATCTTTGCTTCCTCCGCCGCAGCTGTCTGGCACAATTTCGCGCAACTTTGCAATCAAGGCCTCCGGCAACTTCTGGGACTCGGAATTTGCCTCGACGTGCCTCAGCTGGGCCCAAATCTCTGCTGCCTGCTCGTCTTTGCCGGCTGCGGCGGCCTGCGCACTCCGCAGCCTCACGCCGAAGTCGTGTACTGATGCCTCCTGGTCCGCAGAAGACTCGCCTGCCCTTCGCAAATTTTCGCGGAGGTCGACGCTGAGCTTCTCCAGGTGCCCAGTAGCGGCTTGAACGTGTCTCAGATTCACGGCCTCGAAGCCAGTGGTCCCCTCTGGCGAGTCTGTGGATTCCTCCCAGTGGCGAAGCTTCTGGCGCAGATTCTCCGAAGCCGCTTCGGAGTCCAGCAGCGTCTTGTGCAGGCCGGCACACTGAGCCTCGCTTCTTTCAGCCTCCTGAGCAGATGCCTTCTGGGCCACCTGAAGCAGGCCGGTGTTCCCCCACCAAATGTCAAGCTTTGCAAGTCTTGCCCTAAAGCCTCCATAAAATGATGAATCAATGAAGGCTGAGCTAGAGCTGCCAAGACAACGATGCCAGCACATTGCTAACATCGTCTCTACTACACATGGTGGCAAGGCCTCGAGCTGCTTGACCTGCTCTCGCAGCGTGGACGTTTCGGCAGCAGCCGCAGCCTGCGCGACGCAGTTGCTGACACTGCAGGGCAATCGTCCGATCGTCGTCGCACAAAATTTCACATGAAATATGACAGCCGAAATGCATCTGAACATGTATAGCAGTAGCCGCCTCGTCTGCTTCCTTCCGCACGTTGTCCTGCTGTGACGCTGCCTTCACACTAAAAAGCGGCGTTCCCATGAATACCTTGATTCCACTGCTTCAGACTTCTGTGGAGCTGTGGCCGCTAGGACACGTGACGACACTGGGGGCTTCGACATCAACACCATCAGACTCTTTGAACCTTGTACTGGAGCTGCAAAGATAATGATGCCAACACGTCACGTCTCTGACACCGTCTCTCTACACATTGTGGCCAAGGCCTCCAGCTGCTTGACCTGCTCTCGCAGCGCGGACGTTTCGGCAGCAGCCGCAGCCTGCATGGCGCGGTTGATGAAACTGCATGTGGCAAAAGTCCCATCGTCGGCCGAACACAACTGCGCATGAAATATGATACCCGAAATTCATCTGAGAATGTGTGACGATAGCTGCCTCGTCGGCTGCCTTCTGCGCGCTGTCTTGCTGCGATGCTGCCTTTCGTAAGACTAACGATGTTTTTTCAGATTTCTTTGCAACTGTAACAGCTAGGGCATGTGACGACAGACATCAAACTGGACAATGATGCCAACACACCCGTGAAACTGTCTCTATAGATTGTCGCAATGCCTCGAGCTGCTTGACCTGCTCTCGCAGGGTGGACGTTTCGGCAGCAGCTGCAGCCTGCACGGCGCAGCTGCTGAAACTGCAGGGCAATCGTCCGATCGTCGACCGCACTACATTGAACATGACGTATGATAAACAATATACATCTGAGAATGTGTAACAGCCGCTGCCTCGTCTGCTGCCTTCTGCGTGTTGTCCCGCTGTGAATCTGCCTTTCAAAAAAGAAAAACTCACCAGCTGCTAGGCTGCGTCCTTCAGAAATCTTTGGAACTGTAGCCGCTAGGACACGTGATGACACTCGGGGCTTCGACATCAAAACCATCAGACTCTTTGAACCTTGTACTGGAGCTGCAAAGATAATGATGCCAACACGTCACGTCTCTGACACCGTCTCTCTACACATTGTGGCCAAGGCCTCCAGCTGCTTGACCTGCTCTCGCAGCGCGGACGTTTCGGCAGCAGCCGCAGCCTGCATGGCGCGGTTGATGAAACTGCATGTGGCAAAAGTCCCATCGTCGGCCGAACACAACTGCGCATGAAATATGATACCCGAAATTCATCTGAGAATGTGTGACGGTAGCTGCCTCGTCGGCTGCCTTCTGCGCGCTGTCTTGCTGCGATGCTGCCTTTCGTAAGACTAACGATGTTTTTTCAGATTTCTTTGCAACTGTAACAGCTAGGGCATGTGACGACAGACATCAAACTGGACAATGATGCCAACACACCCGTGAAACTGTCTCTATAGATTGTCGCAATGCCTCGAGCTGCTTGACCTGCTCTCGCAGGGTGGACGTTTCGGCAGCAGCTGCAGCCTGCACGGCGCAGCTGCTGAAACTGCAGGGCAATCGTCCGATCGTCGACCGCACTACATTGAACATGACGTATGATAAACAATATACATCTGAGAATGTCTAACAGCCGCTGCCTCGTCTGCTGCCTTCTGCGTGTTGTCCCGCTGTGAATCTGCCTTTCAAAGAAGAAAAACTCACCAGCTGCTAGGCTGCGTCTTTCAGAAATCTTTGGAACTGTAGCCGCTAGGACACGTGATGACACTCGGGGCTTCGACATCAAAACCATCAGACTCTTTGAACCTTGTACTGGAGCTGCAAAGATAATGATGCCAACACGTCACGTCTCTGACACCGTCTCTCTACACATTGTGGCCAAGGCCTCCAGCTGCTTGACCTGCTCTCGCAGCGCGGACGTTTCGGCAGCAGCCGCAGCCTGCATGGCGCGGTTGATGAAACTGTGAGACGGCCGTCGACCGCACAAAATTGCACATGACATATGATACCTGAGTTGGCAGTAGCTGCCTCGTCGGCTGCCTTTTGCGCGTTGTCCTGCTGCGTCGCTGCCTTGCATTGTAATCAGTACGCGGTGTTCCCATGAATACTTTGGTTTATAGCTACTCAGTGTCCTTCACTGTTAACACTTCTTTGGAACTATAGCCGCTACCGCACATGACGACACTGGGGGCTCTGGCAGCAAAACCATTAGACTTGTACTGGAGCTTCCAAGACAAGGCGGCCAACATGTTGCTGACACCGTTTCTACACATTGCGGGAAGGCCTCAAGCTTCTTGACCTGCTCTCGCAAGGCGGATGTCTCGGAAGCAGCTGCAGCCTGTTCGGGGAGGGTGAGGGTTCATGAACTCGCTGCGGGCTTGGCTGGGTGCGGCAATAATGGAGTGGTCGACCAGATTAACAACTCTGCCATGCTTGCACGTCAGGAATGGAGTTTGATGCATATCTCTTTGTTGCCTTCTGTCTAACAGCAGCATCCACTGTTGCCAAGACAATAACAAAGCACAGTGCGACTTCAAGTCTTAGATAAGCTGCAGCGTCGACTGTTTAGATCCATGTCCCAGAAAGTATCTGATGCCTTCCCAACTGCTGTAGATGTTGCACTTGGGAATTGTCAAGCCAGCCTCTGCGACTTTCAGCTTCTCGCGAAGCGCCCCGACCCCATCTCGGATCGCAGATGCCGTGGCGACCTGCACGTGCCGTCACGACAGTGTGCCGAGCCATTGACGGACTAGCAAGCTCTGACGGCAGCTGTCTTACTTCTGACTGTTGGGAGGGCCTCCTGCTTCCTCAGCTGGTCCCTCACCGCGGATGCATCAGAAGCTGCCGCAGCCTGATCGGAGGCGGAACTTCTTGGATGCAGCTTGTCAGCGGCTGATTCGCCAGGTGCCGTCGAAGCCAACGCTCAACAAAATGCCCCTCACGCCTCCTCGGCAGCCTTCTTCTCAGCAGACTGTGACGCGGCCTCTTTGCAGGGCAAACTGCAAGATGCGCCTTCCAACTTCAATCTCAGGAGCGCAGCTGGAAAGAGAATCAGGACACAAAACGTAGGCGGGACAAGTTCTGTCTGCACTTCAGACTCCTTGAGCCGTACTACTTAGTGTCTCTTGCTGCCAATAGCAGAAAACAACGCTGACAGCACATTATTCCACCGCCTTCCCTGCTGCAGATGTTACACTTGGTCAGCCTCTGCGACTTTCAGCTTCTCGCGAAGCTCCTCGACTGCGTCGCGGATCGCAGATGCCGTCTCGTCCTGCACATGCCGTGGCATCTGTATGCACTACATGTTTCTCCTCGTGCGGGCCATTGATGGACCAGCACATCGGGAAGCTGTCTTACTTCTGACTGTTGGGAGGGCCTCCTGCTTCCTCAGCTGGTCTCTCAGCGCGGACGCATCAGAAGCTGCCGCAGCCTGATCGGAGGCGGAACTTCTTGGATGCAGCTTGTCAGCGGCTGATTCGCCAGGTGCCGTCGAAGCCAACGCTCAACAAAATGCCCCTCACGCCTCTTCGGCAGCCTTCTTCTCAGCAGACTGTGACGCGGCCTCTTTGCAGGGCAAACTGCAAGATGCGCCTTCCGACTTCAATCTCAGGAGCGCAGCTGGAAAGAGAATCAGGACACAAAACGTAGGCGGGACAAGTTCTGTCTGCACTTCAGACTCCTTGAGCCGTACTACTTAGTGTCTCTTGCTGCCAATAGCAGAAAACAACGCTGACAGCACATTATTCCACCGCCTTCCCTGCTGCAGATGTTACACTTGGTCAGCCTCTGCGACTTTCAGCTTCTCGCGAAGCTCCTCGACTGCGTCGCGGATCGCAGATGCCGTCTCGTCCTGCACATGCCGTGGCATCTGTAGGCACTACATGTTTCTCCTCGTGCGGGCCATTGATGGACCAGCACATCGGGAAGCTGTCTTACTTCTGACTGTTGGGAGGGCCTCCTGCTTCCTCAGCTGGTCTCTCAGCGCGGACGCATCAGAAGCTGCCGCAGCCTGATCGGAGGCGGAACTTCTTGGATGCAGCTTGTCAGCGGCTGATTCGCCAGGTGCCGTCGAAGCCAACGCTCAACAAAATGCCCCTCACGCCTCCTCGGCAGCCTTCTTCTCAGCAGACTGTGACGCGGCCTCTTTGCAGGGCAAACTGCAAGATGCGCCTTCCGACTTCAATCTCAGGAGCGCAGCTGGAAAGAGAATCAGGACACAAAACGTAGGCGGGACAAGTTCTGTCTGCACTTCAGACTCCTTGAGCCGTACTACTTAGTGTCTCTTGCTGCCAATAGCAGAAAACAACGCTGACAGCACATTATTCCACCGCCTTCCCTGCTGCAGATGTTACACTTGGTCAGCCTCTGCGACTTTCAGCTTCTCGCGAAGCTCCTCGACTGCGTCGCGGATCGCAGATGCCGTCTCGTCCTGCACATGCCGTGGCATCTGTATGCACTACATGTTTCTCCTCGTGCGGGCCATTGATGGACCAGCACATCGGGAAGCTGTCTTACTTCTGACTGTTGGGAGGGCCTCCTGCTTCCTCAGCTGGTCTCTCAGCGCGGACGCATCAGAAGCTGCGGCAGCCTGATCGGAGGCGGAACCAATGAACGACACGACTTGGCCGGCGTTCTGCTGCAATGGCTCCTGCCTGGTCTGCTTGCATCGCAGCATCCCGGGCGGCTGCCTTTCGCACATCGGGTTCCAGGTGCTTTGGCAGTCCCATTTGTGAGATTTGCAAAATGCACGTCACACAAGCTGCTGCGTATAATGTGCACATCGCCCTGTCGGGGAGGCTGCCTTTCCCGGGCTTGTGCAATGATGTTGGGCTCCTCAACTCCTTCGGAGCTTCCTGAGGAGCCATTGCCTCAAAGTCAAAGCCGGCCCCCGAAACCTTCCCTACGTCGAGAACGCTCAGCGCTTCGATTGCCAACATTCGAAATTATGGGTACCAGTACATGGTTTATGGCAGTTCTGATCTCATGTTTCCCGTCAACTCACTAGCAGTCACTGTGTCTGCACTGAGACGTTGCTCGTATAAACAACCTTCACACTTCACCCGCAATGAACACCCCTTTTCGTCCTGTGATAGAAAGCACTGCTGCATACTGCTGCACTGTGGGTGTGCGCTTCAGTGCGCTGTCGCGCTGTTGTTGCGTCGATTGATGTCGATTGTGAAGGGTGGAGCGGTGGATGAAAAAGCTTTGCAACGTTCAAGGTTTTCCGTCAATGCCGCTCGCAGCTGCTAGTGGGCACACAAGTGGACCACGCACTGCGTGATAGTGATTCGTCATAGCTGACCCTCCCGCAGCCTCTTGAATCTCTTGACAGAAAGTCAGCACCCAGAGATCTCACCGACAGTGACTGTGCAGCTGGCTCAACAACAGTCCATGTGTACCCACCTCCGCCAACTTTTCGCGCAGTTGTCGGACGGATTCCCTGATGGTGGCAGAAGCATCCTGCGGCTTGAACTGTAGCTCGCGTGGCTCAAGGCTGCCCGACCCCTAGATCGGCAAGAAAAACGTTGTTGTCTCGGAGCCTCTGCACTTTTTGCCTTCTCCTGCGCAAGTGCGGCAAAAGAGTGATCTGCGAGAAGCGCTTGACAACTTCTCGACACCGACAAAGGAAGTGCCAACAAGCATGACAATAGGCGAAATTAAATTAAGGACGGAGAGCAATCGTGCCTGTGTTTGTGACTCAACAACCTTATTACTGGAATGTCAGACTCCAGTTAGCCGTGATTTCTTTAACAGCACCGTAACATCAGAACACTGCTTGGATCGCACCTCCATGCTGGCACATGTCTCTTTCCACTTTTTCGCTTCTTGAGAAGCACCAGCTAGAGACTCCTCTCGCATTCATGGCACAGCGAATGCATTCGTGGCGGCGGGATGAGTCGTGAAGTGGCTCCTCGGCATTGCGCAGCCTATCCTTCCATTCCTGATCACAATCAAATATTGGATATGCCGCAGCTCAAAGTAGCTGAGCATCTTCTGTTCTTCGCCCCTCCTCACTCACAGCCTCGGGCTCGGAGATTGGAAGTTTGTCCTGTTATTGCGGTGTCACTTCACGACAAGCAGAGCACAAGACAAAGAACGCAGGTCTTGACTGAGCAGATCAGCACACTAATTAAGCACTAAGCCAGCAAAAGGATGGACTGACGTGAGGTGTTTGCGCGCCAGTAATTGCAGCTTTGGGTAGGGCCCCGATCTATGTCGAAAGTAGCACATTCGGCAACACGTCCCCATAAAAAACTCTCCGAAGAAACTATGATTCGTAGGTGTCAACTGTCAGGCTGTAGGGCAGAAAGTCCAACATCAACTGTCAAGATGCAGCTCAGAAAGTAAGCGGAGATGTGTCTCATCACATCACATCAGCCCGCCGAATTCATCTCTGGGTCATCATAGCTGCGCTGCGGAGCGCCCTTGGCCGCCTCTGCAGCTTGCAGGCTGTAGCTGCAGAATATTCTGATTGGACCCGTTCCGCATTTGCTAGCAAACATCTGCCAGCAAGACGAAAAGCGTCCCAACAACTTTCAGCTTCAACATACTTCCTGAACAAACTGGAATGCATCAGAAAGTAAGCGGAGATGTGACTCATCACAGGAAGTCAGCTCCGCCGAATTTATCTCTGAGTCATCCTTTGATAAAACAAGCATTTCTGCATGCATACCATCAACGTACAACTGTCAAGACGCAGCTCAGAAAGTAAGAGCGCAGCTATGATGACCCAGAGATGAATTCGGCGGGCTGATGTGATGTGATGAGACACATCTCCGCTGTGGAGCGCCCTTTGCCGCCTCTGCAGCTTGCAGGCTGTAGCTGCAGAATATTCTGATTGGACCCGTTCCGCAGTTGCTAGCAAACATCTGCCAGCAAGACGAAAAGCGTCCCAACAACTTTCAGCTTCAACATACTTCCTGAACAAACTGGAATGCATCAGAAAGTAAGCGGAGATGTGACTCATCACAGGAAGTCAGCTCCGCCGAATTTATCTCTGAGTCATCCTTTGATAAAACAAGCATTTCTGCATGCATACCATCAACGTACAACTGTCAAGACGCAGCTCAGACAGTAAGCGGAGATGTGTCTCATCACATCACATCAGCCCGCCGAATTCATCTCTGGGTCATCATAGCTGCGGATCGCGTTTTGCCGCCTCTGCAGCTTGCCGGCTGTAGCTGCACAATATTGTGATTGGACATGTTCCGCATTTGCTAGCAAACATCTGCCAGCAAGACGAAAAGCGTCCCAACAACATTTAGCTTCAACATACTTCCGGAACGAACTGGAACGCATCAGAAAGTAAGCGGAGATGTGACTCATCACAGGAAGTCAGCTCCGCCGAATTTATCTCTGAGTCATCCTTTGATAAAACAGGCAGTGCTGCATGCATACCATTAACGTACAACTGTCAAGACGCAGCTCAGAAAGTAAGCGGAGATGTGTCTCATCACATCACATCAGCCCGCCGAATTCATCTCTGGGTCATCATAGCTGCGGATCGCTTTTGCCGCCTCTGCAGCTTGCCGGCTGTAGCTGCAGAATATTCTGATTGGACATGTTACGCAGTGTTCGGACGTCAAGCCGCACCCCTCTGCAAAGCAAAATGAGACTGCAGCTTGCCGGCTGTAGCTGCAGAATATTCTGATTGGACATGTTACGCAGTGTTCGGACGTCAAGCCGCACCCCTCTGCAAAGTAAAATGACTCAGCAAACATGTGCCAGCAAGACGAAAAGCATGCCCTACAACTTTCAGCTTCAACATACTTCCGGAACGAACTGGAACGCATCAGAAAGTAAGCGGAGATGTGACTCATCACAGGAAGTCAGCTCCGCCGAATTTATCTCTGAGTCATCCTTTGATAAAACAGGCAGTGCTGCATGCATACCATCAACGTACAACTGTCAAGACGAAGCTCAGAAAGTAAGCGGAGATGTGTCTCATCACATCACATCAGCCCGCCGAATTCATCTCTGGGTCATCACAGCTGCGGATCGCCTTTTGCCGCCTCTGCCGCTTGCCGGCTCTAGCCGCAGACTTTTCTGATTGGACAGGTTACGCAGTGTTCGGACGTCAAGCCGCACCGCTCTCAAAGCAAAGTGACTCAGCAAACATCTGCCAGCAAGACGAAAAACGTCCCAACAACTTTTAGCTTCAACATACTTCCGGAACGAACTGGAACGCATCAGAAAGTAAGCGGAGATGTGACTCATCACAGGAAGTCAGCTCCGCCGAATTTATCTCTGAGTCATCCTTTGATAAAGCAAGCAGTGCTGCATGCATACCATCAACGTACAACTGTCAAGACGCAGCTCAGAAAGTAAGCGGAGATGTGTCTCATCACATCACATCAGCCCGCCGAATTCATCTCTGGGTCATCATAGCTGCGGACCGCCTTTTACCGCCTCTGCAGCTTGCCGGCCGCAGCTGCAGACTATTCTGATTGGACATATTCCGCATTTGCTAGCAAGCATCTGCCAGCAAGACGAAAAGCGTCCCAACAACTTTCAGCTTCAACATACTTCCTGAACAAACTGGAATGCATCAGAAAGTAAGCGGAGATGTGACTCATCACAGGAAGTCAGCTCCGCCGAAAATATCTCTGAGTCATCCTTTGATAAAACAAGCATTTCTGCATGCATACCATCAATGTACAACTGTCAAGACGCAGCTCAGAAAGTAAGCGGAGATGTGTCTCATCACATCACATCAGCCCGCCGAATTCATCTCTGGGTCATCATAGCTGCGGATCGCCTTTTGCCGCCTCTGCAGCTTGCCGGCTGTAGCTGCAAAATATTCTGATTGGACATGTTACGCAGTGTTCGGACGTCAAGCCGCACCCCTCTGCAAAGCAAAATGACTCAGCAAACATGTGCCAGCAAGACGAAAAGCGTCCCAACAGCTTTCAGCTTCAACATACTTCCGGAACGAACTGGAACGCATCAGAAAGTAAGCGGAGATGTGACTCATCACAGGAAGTCAGCTCCGCCGAATTTATCTCTGAGTCATCCTTTGATAAAACAAGCAGTGCTGCATGCATACCATCAACGTACAACTGTCAAGACGCAGCTCAGAAAGTAAGCGGAGATGTGTCTCATCACATCACATCAGCCCGCCGAATTCATCTCTGGGTCATCATAGCTGCGGATCGCCTTTTGCCGCCTCTGCCGCTTGCCGGCTGTAGCCGCAGACTTTTCTGATTGGACATGTTACGCAGTGTCATCTGCCAGCAAGACGAAAAACGTCCCAACAACTTTCAGCTTGAACATACTTCCGGAACGAACTGGAACGCATCAGAAAGTAAGCGGAGATGTGACTCATCACAGGAGGTCAGCTCCGCCGAATTTATCTCTGAGTCATCCTTTGATAAAACAAGCATTGCTGCATGCATACCATCAACGTACAACTGTCAAGACGCAGCTCAGAAAGTAAGCGGAGATGTGTCTCATCAGAGCACATCAGCCCGCCGAATTCATCTCTAGGTCATCAGAGCTGTAGATCGTGTTCGTGTAGCCGCTTTTGCTGGTTGAATATATCATGCAGTGCGCAATATCAAGCAAGCCACGCCACTCCAATAGTGCCGAGGCAATGTAAGTGATCACCATCACTAGAATGCCGATCTGCCAAGCTACCCCCTCGTCCCGAGCAGCTTCTGTCCTGCGCCGATTGCTGTAGTTCTGCAATCTCTTGTTTCTGCAGCCTGAAGACAGGCCCGAGCTTGGACGAGGGGTGTCGAACGCATCCATCACCGCATACGCACATATTCGGTTCGAGACAGCTCAGATCGCTGCGCTATGGTGGCTTGCAATTTGCTGACCTGCTCAACGAGGGCATTTGGCGCATCGGGGGAGGGATGATTTCTGGATGCAAAAGCGCTCTTGCCTCCGACACTTCACCGGCTGTCTCGTCAGCAGGTGCCCACGCCTGCTGTCAAGTCTTTTCGCAGCCATCACCAGCAGCACGCACATAGGCTCAGAATTTGTTTGGGAGGGCCTCTGCCATGTCCAAGGCCTTGCGCAACCTTTGCGCGACCGCTCGCTCCCAAAGCAAAGCCTTGCGAGCGGCCTGAGTCGAACTTCCAGATTAATACAATCCTCTCAGCAATTTTCGACCGCTGGCCTTCAAATTCTTCAGCAGTGCTTCGGGGCATAAGGCGTCGTCCTCGTCCTCCATGGGCCATTCTGGCAGAACCCTCCACGGTTGCACTGCGTCCAGGCCTTGCCAGCATCCGGCTCAGTGGTCTCGACGAGCTCGCTATCAACATGCTCAGGCGACGCAGCCTCGGATTCCTGAGTTCTGACTGTAGACTGCTGTCATTCGGGGGGCCTTTCATCCTTCGCATTCCTTCCCTCAGCACCTCAAGAACAGTGGAAGTCGACCGAGTGCAGGGCTGGTGCGGCCTCGGCCTGAGCACGTCTTCCCATGCAGATAGATGTACTGCATGTGCTGCGTAATACTGCTTAACACTGCGTATTGCGTGCCGCTGCGTGCCTGTGCAGGATCCATGGCGTTGGCCCAACCCTGTGGCAGCCTCACGACTCACTTAGCCGACTCTAAGCACCTCTCGTTTCAGGAGCTGGGCTCCGAGCTGAGTCGCATCGCTCTGGCCGGTTTCCTTGGCTTTCGGCACCACTCCATCGTGCCACGACCGAACCAACTGCGTGAGCTTCGCACTGTTTGAGCTTCTAGAACTCCGCACTCCGGCTGGGCACCTGCTGGTCTTTAGCATCGGATGCTTGTTACGGGTTCACGCTATCGCCGAAGGTCCTGCTTGCCAAGGCGAGGTCTTTGGCATGGGCAGCATTCTGGTATCTTATGTATCAATACTGTCTGTCGGCCGTCAGCCTGGTGCGGACCTTCTGCTGGTCTACGGATCCAAATTGCTCTTTGAATGCAAGTTGAAAGCACGCTGCGTGATGCGAAGTTATTTTCTCGTATCTTATATTCACAAGACGTGCAGCGCAAGCTACAGTATGCCACATGCGACGGCGGCACGGCTGCGCTGCGTTGGCCACGAGATAACTAACCCGTGTTGCAGGTTTCATCATGCGAGGCAGTAGGAGCCTACAGCCTGGAGAGCCTCGGGGCCCACCACCCATGGAGCCTGGAGGTGAAGATCCTGAAGGTTTCGTCCAAGGAATCGACACCTCGAGAGGTCGCAAGAAAGAGACCGGAGGTATGGAGGGGCTGCACATGCCATGTGTTGGTGTTGTGCCAGGCAGGTCACTACTTTATGCCGTTGCATGCATCAGCAACGGGACACTGCTCATTCAGCACCCTGATGCAGCAGGACCACAACCGGGCGCCGAGCAGCTGGTTGTGCCGGCAGATGGTCGGCCTGCCATGCAGCTCAGCACAATGATTCTGGGGCGAAGCGTTCTCTGGCCTTCAGCCACCCCCCTCTATGGCTCGTTGCCCCCATCCCCCCCCCCTGCCCTCTAGGCTGGGGCACCCAGGCGGCCGGCAAGGATGGCATTCCCATGGAGCCGCGACCTGGAAGCGAATTCGCAGGAGAGCCCATACAGTATGGCTTGGCTGTGCCATTCGGCTCCCAGGGGCTGGAAGTCGTCGTCTTGCTCTGGACGACGCCGATTCCGCCTGTGGCCGCACTCTGCAGTTGGCCGGGCCTGTTACTTCTGAGACGGGAGCCGCCTGGGTAGCCCCAGGCCGGCTGCGTCTGCATGGAACCTGGGAAGCAAACGCCAAAGCACTCGCACTCATCTCCGGCTTTCTTTTCATTCCTGGCCTCCACCGCTGCCACTTGGAGCTGGTGCGACCGGCTGGGAGGGCTGGGAGCGTTCTGGGGCGAAGTGCCGCTCTTTAGCAGCGCTGTGCGGCGGCCCAAGTTCGGGATCCCGATCCGCCGTCTCCGAAGAGAAGGTCTCGGGCTGGCCATGCGCGCCTGTCAAAGGAGGCGCGCCCACCGGCGGCAGCCCAGCCTGCATACTGCAGAAGGCGCAGGCCTCACACGTTGCGCATTGCGCGGGGCCAGGCCTGGCAGGAGGGCGGGGGCCACATCTCCTTGTTCCCGCTCGTCACCTGCACCGGCGGCATGGCCGGCATGGCTCCTGGAAAGGGCAAAGCTCCTTAGACGGCACTCTGAGAGACGGGGTCCTCTTGGTGAGGGCGGCAGTGGACTCGGATCTGCCAGGAAACGTTCCAGGGAAAGCCTGTAGAAGAGCACGAAAAGGAAAGGAAAACATTGCTCTCTTCATCTCTCTGAGGCCTGCACTTGGGTCCCTGCCCCGGGGCCTGCGAGGCATGGAATGCCGTCCGTGTCTGCTGCTGCTGGGACCTGTCAGCCAAGTCTTCAGCTCCGAATTCCATGCGTTTCCTGATGGATGAGGCCTCCAGAACATGGCGACACCAGGACTTGCGGGGGGGGTGGACAGAGCTGTGGCTTCGGGTACGATGCTGAAGCTTGGGTTTAGTGATGTTTAGAGTTTAGAGCTGTTCGACTGCCGGCTATGCTCTCGGAGCTCATAGCTCGGAGCTCATTGCATTATAGGTTTGAGCCTGATGCCTGAGAGCGGGCAGCTTGAATGCAACCGTCGCATCTCCAGCTCTTCAGGCAGCACTTCTCAAGCGGACCTCAGGGTGGAAGATGCAGACGTTCCCATGAGGCGTTCGCAGCAGGCTTCAAAGTCAATTGACCGTCGGGCCTACTTCATTTGAGAAGCTGAATAGCGGCCTAGCGCTGCTCTTCTCTCTGTGCTCGCATGTGCTGATTGGGAAGAGCTTGGAGCGGCCGCGGCAGCAAGCAGCCAAGCAGCTAAGACTCCCCCTGCGGACTGAATCTTCTGAAGGCTCTGCGTGGAGAACGCAATGCAGGGCTGTTGTGATGCGCCCTGGGGCACCACCCTTTGCAGAATATAAAATGCTCTCTGCGTGAACCCACATCCCCGGCTCCCCGGTAGGCACCATGGTCGCGCAAAGCTCGTCCAGTGGGGTCGCGATGTCCTCCGGCTCCGTTCCCTGGCAGCTTTTGCAAAGCGGTGATTCGTGAAAGATGCGAGGAGGCACGGTTGGCGGAAGCCTGGAAAACTTCACGAAACTTCGCGAGAGGAATCGATCGCGTCTCCTGCGCATGTCAATGCTTTCACGATGGGACTCCGACTCCGACCCGATCTACGCGGCATGCCACGTCATATTGCCATGGCCTTGCTGATCACGATGTTGTAGTTTCGAAGCTTTCGGTCCTGAGCTCGTAACAATCAGGGTCATGTCCAGCGGCATTACGAGCACGTTTGAACCAAGGCTCGAAAGAACAAGTGCAAGCGCGGAGCTGGCCATCCACCTGCGCGCTTTGGGGGCTGGAAACTTCTTTTCTCGGGCCTTGCGGCGTGAAGAGCAGAGCCCTGGTTTGCTGTGTGTTTGCAAGCTTGTGTTTGTCCGCCAAGCCTAAATTGAACCCGGCCGCTAGGCATCGAACACAACCCCAAGGTCTTGGTCCCCGAACCGTGAAACAGATTGCCATCCTGTCATTGGCTCCTCTTGGTCGTTGTAAGACAGGTGAGTCAAGGGCTGCAGAGTTGAAAAGCGTGTCGGTCAGCATCCGTTCTACTGACCGACTGACCCCTCATGTTACAAAGTAACAGAATGGACTAAGGATTCAAAAACCCAAGACCAAGCACGAGCTGATCCATCCAGACTGTTCCAGACTTCCTTTCTCAAGCCGCACTGCACATGTCTGGCCCACGTCTGCCAGGAAGTCCTGCATCAGACTGTCACCGAATTATAGTCATGTGGTGCAGCACTCAGAGATGTAGCTGTAGCTTAACCGTGCTGAGTAACAGCCCTGATAACAACCCTTGGCGGTCTGCAGAACCTTGCTTGCCTACTGTTCGTGTCAATTGAGTATTCATGTGCGGCCACGGCATCCTCCAATGACTCTTTGTAATCCGGGGACGCCATGACCTGCACGCCACATGACAACACATGCAAACTGGGCCATCTGGTGTCCAGCAATGCTCGTCATTCATTTGAGTGGTCTGGTCTCCTAGGGACTACCTTTTACTTGGCCCTCCGTCACGTCTGCTCTGCTACACTCTGTGTCACCATGATGAAACGTTCTACAGGAATTGGCCGCAAGCCGCATGAAGTTTCTGACCATCGGTAGGGCCCTGCAAGCACCTCGTTGTGACCAAGGCCCTCGAGCAGGACCAGACGTTTAGTTGGCGAAGCCGCAGCCTGCACACAGATCGCAGCGGTCACCGAACATCACAAAGGACGCTCCGGCCGTCCTCGAAGCACTGCTTCGCCTGAGCGACGGGGCACACCACGTCGGCCTGAGCTGTGCTGAACAATCACTGCACTACGCTGTCACAGAGAGGCACAGGCGGTTCCGTTGATGTAGAGGAGCGGCATGTCCAGGCAACCCAGAAAGTCCTTGGCAACGTAGGGCAACGTGCCTACAGCTCCGCTCTTCTCAAAAATCAAAGGGTACAGTGACGCTGTCAACCAGCGTTTCCCACAAGCCGACCAAGCAGAACTTTTTCGATCAAAAGAACGATCTGTTCAGCCTGACTTCCTGACTAGTGCCCCTCGTAACGATGATATTAACAGCCATACTTCGCCGCCGAAAGCCACGGTCTTATGAAGAGTGCGCTGCGTGTCACATTAGCAAAGATCAGTTGAGGTTGATCTCCCTCCATCATTCCAGGCTCTTCATCTATGTCCAGCAGAAACGGTCGTCCACGGACACAACTCTCCAATGACATGATAGCTCAAGCACGGGGGCTGGGGCTATCTTCCGTGACGTGGCATCACGTGATGTGCGAACTGCAGCTTGGGCACAGTTGGATCCAGGCAGCACTGCTCGCGACTGTTTTGTGCCGCTTTGCTGGCTGCTGTTCTGCAGCACATGCAGTGGCCTGACTGCAGACAAAACCCGCTGCACCCAAGCCACCTACGGCTCTGACGATACTAAGTCAGTCAAGGCACCCAGCGGCCGACCAGCAGCTGAAAGGCATGAAGGCATTGCTTTGCCTATACCAGCCCAGGTCGCCATTGGGATGCCCTGCAGCGACACTTCATGGGATTCTCTGCTCCGACGTTCTTGACGGCTGTCCTCCAGGGGCCAGTGGCACGTGACCGGGGAGTCCAGCACCAAGGCCTGTCGACATGACACACCGCCTCCTCCCCGCTGCCCGGCTGCCCCCGGCTGCGCCCGGCTCCACCTCGCCGCAGCCCAAAAGCGCCACGTGCAAGGCGGCCAGGGAGCCAATGGAGCGCCCGAGGATCACCAAGCGCCCTCCGAACCCGAATGCTCTGGTTGCGCTGGGCTCCACCCCAAAAGGTGCGCCCTGCTGGGTGGCCTTCTGGGCTGCGTCCATGCTGCTGCAGCAACGATGGAACTGCCGCGGCTACCTCCTGCAATGCTATGCACGGTGAACTCGGAAACGTTGACCTTTCTCGCCAGCCCCTCTGTGCCTGTGCATCCCGTCTCATGGTGGCCATCGAAGGGAGCCCTGTTGACCTCTGAGGCACCACGAAACGGGAGAAGGAAGCACAGACGTGAGTTACCGGCTGTTGGTACATGCTGCACAGTTACCATCCAAAGCCGCGATAGTCCACCAGAAGAACCTTGCATCAGAGATGCTAACATCAACATTCTCGCACTTGGCTGTGGATTCGTCACGCTGCAGCATGTACGGACTGTCTGAACTTACTTCGGTCCTACTGTGCAAGCTTGCTAGAACATGGGTTTCTGCATGGCTTCTGACGCACACAATGCCACTGGAACATGAAACTATTCCTGAATCTTGGAAGTCTTCATGGGGACATCAGGCTGCTTCCATCTCCCATCCCAGTCCAAGGCATACAGGTGTGCAGGCGTTCCTCGTGGTTTATTGTTGCAATCTTTGCCCTGCTCTTCTCCACCGCCGCCATCCAATCATCCAGCTTAAAGGAGGATTTCGACATTGCTACAGGTTGCCGTGTCACGACTCTGGCGATGTTGCAGGGTAACAGTATCAAGCAGGCAATCAGGCTGTGAAGCATCATGTAATTAATTTACAAGCTCTCTCCCACTTGCTAGGCTACTGCAGCCGAGTCTCATCCGCAAGGCTTTGCTCCACAAGCCGCAGGATTTCTGGCGACCTGGCCATCACGGCTGAAAATCTGACGAGCGCGGCTTCGGCACGCTCTGCATCGCTGCGACTGCCTCGCCGAGAGGCCTGCGACCTCGGCGTTACCTCCGAAGCGCAGCACGCAGAGGGGAGCTACCGGAGCAGGATCCTGACGAGACGGAAATGACAGGACTCGCCAAGTTCGGGGCACTGCAAATGCCCCCAAGCACTGTCCTTCAGCAGCAATACCTCAGATGCTCGGAGCTGATCGGACACAGTCAAGGCGTTGGCCATGCCTTTGCCTTTGCCATGCTTGTCCGGAACACAAACGAGCCACGTAGCTCAAGTTTTCGCCGTCGGAGACACGCAAGCTGCCGGTCACACGTTGCACGCCCAGACCGACAGAGGGGGAACTGCGCACGGCAACCTCCGGTTCGCTTGCAAGCACAGGGACAAACAGCTCACGATGCATGACTGAGCTTTGGAACACACAGACCTCTGTCAAGCGCCTGGGCACGAAGGCAGCGGACTTTCTCTCCTCAGATCGAAAAGCGACATGCTCACACTCACACCACTGCAGAGCAAGTGCGAAGCCCCTTGACAAAGCTACCTACATCGACGATGCAGGGCACTGAACATCAGTCTAAGGTGCAGCTGACGGCAGCTGGGTCAGAAGTTGTGTTAATGCAGCGTGGAGGGCGCGCCAGGGCTGCTCCTTAACCACTTCCAGCTGAAGCTCAGAGTTGTCATGTACATTGGAGCCTCACCTCACAAACCGGCTGCAAGACGGCCAGCGCAGAGGCATAGTCTCCAAGCCAAACATTCGTCACTACCTCCAGCGGTGTAGCGACAAACCCTCATCATGCTACGGATTGCCACGCAGTCTCAGTCGCGGCATGTGGGCACCCTGTCCACACGAGACACCAGATTGCCACCTTTCCCTCAGTTCGCCTTGCTCTCAACCGCTTGGGATCCGTTGGGCCTGCTCCTCCAGCTCGCACAAACCAACGGGAGCAGCCCGACCGCAGCGCCGCAGCCGATCGAGGATCGAAAGCATAAGCCGCACACAATGCAAGGATGCAATGCAGCCAAGAGAAGGGACTGCGCTGTGCTTCATGATACTGCTGCACACTACACTGTGACGAAGCATTGTTGCTTCCTGCGCATGGTGGAATCCTTAGAGCCAGTCAGGGTCTGAGCAACATTTTGGCCAATCAGTGCTAGCTGATTGATTTCATGTCGCACACGCTGCTGCCGATGCTTCCTTGCAGCCTTCTTACACGCTCCTGCAACGCAGCTTTACTCCGGCTGCCGTAAGGCTGAACTGTCCGGGGACGTCAAAGGTCGCACGTCTCGCTTTCTCGCTACGGCACACCAGTTGCCAGTGTCGAAATAGCCTAAGACTTCTGTGAAGCATGCTTCCAGGCACACATATAGCAAGACCAAGATCTTGCGTTCAAGATCTTCGTGACAGGAAATGGGCTTGGTCGCAGACTTTCCAGAGTCTCCAATTCCGGCAACTGCTCCAACCTGAAGGCCCGCGGTTGTATGTGCAGGATTTTAACGAAAGGAACAACAGAGCTTACGACAGCTCTTGTAGCTCGCCCTCCCTGTACACGTGACAATATCTTTGGCCTGGGTTGCGTCGAGCGGTCGTCTAGACTGTTGAGGTCTGGCACGTCTGGGCCCAAGGCACACGGGCGGTTTTGCTTCCCAGCTGCCTCCATCCTCGTCACCTGTCGCAACAAACCGAGAAACAAGGGAACGGAACTGACACTAGAAATCGCCAGGTTTCGAGATCCAGAGAAGAATTGACAGTTGGTGGGTCAGTTTCCCTGCAAGAGCATTCTGGATTCAGACATTGCCTGGAGGCAGCATGTTGACCGAAGCTGGCTGTTTACCAATTCCGTACATCAAGGAGATTGATGACAGATCCAGGAAATGAAATGCGACTATGTTCGGAGGTATATGCTCAGTTGGTGTTGTGTAGTTGTGCTTCCAATCCCAGAAAGTTTGATTTAAGATTTTGGCATACGTGGGAGTGGAGGTGATTGTAGGTGTTGTCGCAACCCCAACACAAGCACTTGAACCCGGGCCCTCCAACCTTGCACTCCTTGCGCTCATGTCCCCTAGATCTCGAACGTTCTGCATGTCCGGTTTGAGTTCAACAAAGGTTGAATGCCTGAAACTTGCAAATCCCGATGCCCTCTATCTGTTTCTCTGGGAGGTGAAGAGAGTCCTCACGAGAATCCGTGGGAATGCGGCGAAGCTGGCCACGGCGACTGAAAGATGTCAACGAATCCTTCCCCGCTTCCCACGAAAGTCGGCCTCCTGCGGCGTCCTTCAGCAGGGTTTCGTCACGGCCACCCTTCGAGGTGCCTCCAGCTGCCTGCACTGCAGTGGATAATGACATGGCACGCTACTGAAGCTACTGAAGCAACAGATTCGTGCGTCTGGCCGCCATGCCTTCTTCACGCCGGGTGTTCGGAAGCTCCAGGGAACCAAGACATCCTCCGACTTTTTCTCTGATACAGGCGCGCTGCGGCTGCGGCAGGGCATTTGCAAAGCCTGGGCTTCGAAGCGGTGCCGTGACCGCGATCGCTGGTCGTCCTGCCTGCGGCTTCATAGAGGTGCGTTGATCTCGCGCCGGCGAATGGGCTCCGGGCTCGTAGCTCCAACAGTAGACAAGGAGTTGGCCGCCTGGTCTGAGCAAGCGCCTGGGTCGGTGAGAATCGGCCCTACCCCAACCCTGAACCCTAAACCAGCAACTGAGACCAGCGGCGCGGCTTCTCGCAGAGCCTGGCTAAGCGGCTCTGGGCGGATGGGAATATTTACACAGATGCTCTCTGCATCTCTCTGCCCACCTGTACTCGCCGAGGCTCTGTGGACAAATGATGTAAAACCTCCGGAGTTACCCTACGAGTCTCAAAGAGCGAGCTATTTGGGACGGTGCGCTTGCGAGAGGTGTAAGGGCCAGGCAGCAATGGAAAGCACTGCATCGAAGCTGCCACTGCGCAACGGCGCACACAGGCAGTCAGAAACCTTCACACGAGATGAACTCGTGTCCAGCTCTGAAGCTTGCGCATCTTACCGGCGAGGGGCCATGCAGCAGACTCCGTGCTCCTGCAATATGCGGCATCCACGGGCAACTGCGCACATCTTCTAGCTACTAGGCGTCCTTGGCAGCAATTTCTGCCAGTGCTCCACTGATATCCTGGGACTCACTCAGGGCATGCATGGTCTTGGTGCACGACACCCTTAAGGCAAAAGCGCTCGCCACAGGAAAGCATCCAGCTTCCTTGACATGTGGCCTCAAATGCCACACACGTGCTTTGGCAATTCGGAGCTGCACAAGCATGGCTAAGCCGCTTGCAAATTCTTGCCATTGCCTGCTGCATCGGCTCGCATCACGGTGATATTGCTACAGTAACGTGTCACTGCGGCACTAACATGCGCAGTTCTCCAGCATCCGTCATAAAGGCCCTGGCCACAACCAAGATCAGCAACCAAAGATCCACGCGGCAAGCCACGGATAAATGCCTGGAGGATCTGCGGCCAAAGACAGCCAGGGACCCCAGCCTCACCGTCCGCGAAACTTTGCATAAACCTGCCTCCACTTTGGGCCAGGCTTTGTAGCGCCTCGGGCGCCCGTGAAAAGGACAGCGCATCCCGAAAAGATGAACATCCCGAGCGCAGCGACGTATGGTTCCAGTGGCTGGCAATTGCATCGTAGACTTTGTGCACGTTCTCCGCCTTTTGGCAATCTGGCAGATTTTTAGAATGCTACCGGGCTACCGCATGGTAGGCCGGGCCTCGATTGTCGGAGTGCGCAACGGATTCTCACTGCCGGTCTCCGGCACCTGATCTTACGGGCGAAGCACCGCAGAGGGAGGAAGATTCTCACCGAGCTCGGCCCCAAGCAATCACGGCAGTCGTCTTCTGCTCGGGACCCTTCAGCTCCTGAAAGCCATGTCTGTGGCCCGTCAGAACAAGAGCAACATACCGCACTTAAGCTTCACTATGCAAAATGCTGCATGCAATGGCCGTTTACAATCTCAAGCATCAGCATCACAGCTTCGCTGCTTCAGGAGGAGTCTCATCTTCTATTGGCGCTATGGGAAAAGACGTGAAACATGCGCATCTGGCTCCGCAGAGAGCCTCAGGGCTTGTGCGACGTGCCGTGATAGAACTTCCTTGGTCAGGAGCTTCCGGGTTCTATCATGCCCAGAACAGGAAATTTTGGCTGCGATTCTGGGCTACTGCAGGAAAGCAGCCACTTGTTGAAGTCACCTGCAAAGGCAGGCACTTTCGGGAATCCGCTGCACGATTTGACAGTGCAAGCCCGGGTCCGATCTGTTACATCGCCAAGACACACTCCGGCGCTTCGATGGTTGGATCGTCCGGATACTTCTTTGCAAACCTGAGTACGTGTACAGCAGGGAAACCAACACGGTATAGATCTGCCGTCGATTGGAGCAGGGAGACATGTCTTCGAGCTTCTTGGTCCGCCATTCACAAAGCATTGCATCAAACCTGTCGCTTCGGGACAAGAAGTTGCATCTTTCAGCATACCCGGGTAGTTGAACGCTACACAGGTGCCGTCCCGGCACCGTCCGTCCCAGAAGTTCAGGTGGACGCCCTGGTCGATGACTGGATCGTATTCCTTGGAAGGCCAGGAGTTCGAACTCCACCGACTCCACCCAACTTCCTCATACCTTCTGTCGATTGCAGCCGGGTTTCACGTCCACCGACCTTGATGAAATTAGCATAGTCGCCAGTCTCCTCAACGTTGCGATATGCAAGAAATGCAAGACCAGACCCGGCCAGTCTCCTCTGTGATGCCGACCAAGTCGTCGATGCGGATCTCTCCAGCAGGAGCGATTTGGTAGGTGCAGTCCCCTGCCATTCCAGCGATAGGCTCTGAAGATCTTTTTAGGACACCTGGCTGCTCACGTCGCCTGATCCATCCGGGAAAATACCCTCGGGACACTGGCCACCCGGCTGGCTTGCCTCAGTCACGCGGTCCGCTCAAGCCGTCCCAAGGCAGCCCAGAAGATCTTCGTACAGCTGTGCCTTGCAGCTGGCACTTTTCTTGTCCAGCTTTCCGAAGGGGCATGGGCCCGGCAAGCCTCAGGGCAGGACTCGCAGGCAGCAACAGGACATCTCATTCCTGCTGCGGCTAAGCTCCCGACTGAACCATGCAGCATTGGGATAGAAGTTCAACTTGTTCCTATGGTCGCTCAAGCTGGGTACAGACGGTTTCACTTCGAATGGGAAACTGTGCTTTAGCAAATACAGAGTACAAAACTGCACCCGACATCAGATTACTTCGAGCAAGGAGCCACTTCTGATGTGGGAAGTTCGCAGCTGATCCTTCAACCCAGTTCTCGCAGCCCACCGTGTACCCAAAGCGCTTAAAGTTCTCGCAATCGAAGGGGCCGGTGCACTCCGTAATGTCGAACTCGTTCATGACCTTGCATATTGGCAGCCCGACTATATTTTCAGACACACTTGAACTTCTGTCGATCATCCTCGTCATTTCCGCTAACAGGTCGACATTATGTTGCTGTGGCATGTGCTTTCGTTTGGGGTGTGTGCCTTCTTCGACGTGTTTGGGGCAGTGGCTTGCGGGTGCTGCTGTCACATGGGTTAGCATGGGTTGCAATTTCAAGTTTCCGCCGTGGACATCCATTCCCCTTGTGGCCCACCATGACTACTATGCAGTTGCTTACGAGGGTCACTCCGATGATTCTGTAGGAGAACGGTTGTAGAGTCATGAACATGCGCATTCGTTCATCTTTTTGTCAGGATTCTACCGACTTCGATTTCTATGTGTCATTATCCTGATTGCCAGGAAAATTACCTGTCTGACGCTTCCTTTCGCGAGCACCAAGACGCTTGCAAGCGTCGTGCTTGCAACGACTGCCTCGCATGTATGAAGGTCGAGATTTCGCCACCTTTGCTTGTCCAGAGTTTGGTCTCCCGCTTTCCACTCCGACGTTTCGAGGGTCTGCGACTTGACACTCCCGACGGCTTCTGGTGCTTTCCCACTCCGCACTCTTTGAAGAGCTGAGGCTTTGCCGCCTGTTTTCAGTCTGAACTTGAGGTTTGCAGCTCCACACACTCTTAGACTCTCCCGAGATGCGAATTTTACAACTCCCGACTCGATTCCGCAAACTTTTTCAGGAGTTCACGCGTGGACTTGCTATTGGATCACATTGATTTCTCATATGCCATGTTGCATAACCCTCTGACGGAGAGAAACTAAGCCATCGACGCCGAAGTTCATGCCGAGGTCGTACAAAGGCTGCGTAGCTCGCGTCCACACTTTGTACCGACGAATTCGCGTTTTCGGGTCTGCAAAGTTCGTACCAGCTCGCGACTTGGCATGCCAGACGATCTCGTTGTGCAAATAGAACATGGCTGCACCAGCCGTCGTCAAGTCCGCATTTGCACAACAGCTATAGTTGGCATCACTTTGAACGCGGTAAAGATGGAATGTCATGAGTGGAGCAGTACTGGCATTCACCAGCTCCTGGTTTCTCACCCGGTACTTCGGATTGTAGGAGGATGTATACTCCTTTGGTGGAGGTGGCGGGGGTGGTGCCGGGGCCGCATGCGTCAGGCCATGACAATTGAACTGATGGCCGTACTCCGGCTTAATGCGCACCCCGTTCCTCTTCCAACATATCCACATGTACCAACCTCTGTGCACGTCGCACTTGCAGTCTCCTGCACCCAGCTTGACAGCACACATGCGGTAGTTCAAATCAACTACCCTCTACTACCTGGCAGGTGGCAATAAAAACACAACCCATCCCAGTTGATCAATCCTTTCACAAAGCCATACTTCAACCAACAGCTTTCGTGGCAGTAGCGGAAGCTGCTGTTGGATTCTTCCAGGGAGAATTCGGAAGAGGACTCACCTGCGGCTCATGAGAGATGCTCCGGAAATCTGAAGAAGGCAAAGCAGACTCTACTACCCTGGCCCTGGCCCTGGCCTTGCACTGCACGTCTTTGCAAAGCCTGCAAGGCACACTCGGACTCGGAGCCGTCGCTGCCGTCGCACTCGTCGTCTTCGGCGAAGGGAAGCGATGCGGCAGGGCGAAGGAGCAGCGCCAGCAGCGCCAGCAGCGGCAGGGCGAGTTGAGCCCCCAGGCAAAGCATCACTACCCTCGCAGAGGCTTAGGAACCAAAGTATCAATGAGTGATGCACTGATCAATGCCGAAGGCTCTTCGTTGCTCGAAGCCTTATGACTTTTTTTAGCACTTTTCACGGGAAGATAGTCTATCGAGCCCAGCAGCGCGTTAGATCAGACAAAACATCCTCCAGAAAACGCACCCTGGCGCCCAATGAAACGGATCACTGCAATGATTTGCCAAAGTGCAGACATGCATAAATCTGATGCTAGATTTCCGCAATAAACAGACAAGTAGTTTGTCGTACCATTGGTACTAGGTAGCCACTTTGGAACCTTGACTTGTTTTTGCCTGACGCAACTCCAAAAACAGAGGCTAAGCAGCTGAGTCATCTCAACACAAACTCCAACGCAACTCCTTTCAAACATGGCGAAACCTTACTGGGAACAAGGGGCTGACACAAGGCCAGACCTTCCCCCGCTGTCGGGATCCCCGGTCCTGCCCACTAGGTCCACGCCGACCTGCACCAAAAAAAACTCTCCCGCATCCTGTCGTCCCAACCATTTCAGCGCCTGATGCTTGAGAAGAGTTTGCCTGCAAGGCCTCGGCATGGGATTGAAAGTGCTCAGAAGCTCAGAGACTTCCGAGATCCCAAGGCCTGTGCCTTTTTTTTCTGAGACCTCGGCTGTCGCATGCCATGGCATGGTTTCACTATGTTTCACCATAAGCTTACCATAAGGTTACAGTGCAGATACCATGAGGCTACCTCAAAGATACCATAATAAGGCTATCAATTGATCTGCAGACTTACCATGAGAATGACTACAGGGTTACAGTACCATCAGATTCGATTACTCTTCACCGTCAAACCTCGAGTCATGCCGTCACCTGGCACCGAGCACCGAGCCTTTTGCCTCCGGAGCGCGGTTCGGCTCCTGCCCGTCTCCGGTATTAGCAAACAGAGGCACTGCGAAGCTTGCTGCTCTGCGGCAGAAGAAAAAGCAAGAGTAATGCTAGCAGTACTAAGGTACTGCTACAGTAGAGGTAGCGGCAGCAGCAGCAGTAGCAGCATTAGCAGTACTAGTAGTTGTTGTTGTTTCCGTTGAGCAGGTTTTAAAGCGACGGGAAGTGATCAGCTACTACTGTCGCTGCACCGCAAGGCCACCACAAAATGAAAATTCTGGAGCGCTGTCAACACCGCGAAAAGGCGCGACAGGCATGGCGGCATGGTAGACATGCTGAGCGCTATCACAAACACGGGGCTACGAAGTCGAAGAGGTGGTGTCTCAAGGTATTGACAGCTGGACCAGCTTTTCTAATGCTGATACTGTCTCTCATCAGTATAGAATTATGGCTATCTCCACCAGCTTCGTTTTCGTCACGGCCATGTTGTTCTTCATCCTTTCATATCGCTTCGGTAAGTGCCAGTGTCACAAGTCCATTTTATGATTACCAGAACCAGCTGACTCACCCCTCGAACGTTACTGTAAGTGCACTCAACGCCTAAGGTTCCTCGCGGGCTGCTTGAGATCCCGAACGTGGCCCTGCACGTGCCTGCAACATTGGCCGGAGCCTCCGGGAGGCTGCAGGAAGCTAGGCAAACAATCTAGAGAGATGGTCCAAAACCGAAGCAGATTATTGGCAAAACTAATCTTGATAGCCTCCACAGCTTGTGCAGCGAGGAGACGACGGCAGCCCGCTGCAAGGGTGCTCCAGCATCTCCAGCCATCCGCGAAGCACTGCATGGGCTCAGGGCTCTGTCTCGCAAAGACTTTGGGCACCGAAGACAGAGCTATTCGGATTCGTAGCGACTTGGTGCCTGCACGGCTCTTTGTGTGAGTTCGTTGACATGCACAGAGCTTGGCCAGTACGCCTCCAAGCCAGGAAGAGGGCCGGTAAAGTGCGAAAATGCTTAGTCATGCAGCTGGCCAGAATTGAGCCACCACCCCATACTGTCCTATACCACCTGCTTGAAATCTGATGACCTATCGCAGGCAAAAGACTGCAAAAGCTTGGCCGGGATGCATGCGGCGTACCGACAGCACGTTCATCTCACGCCCACGGACCATGCCCTTGACGAAGCTCTTCATCTGTGACTGAATCTTGGCCACCTTCTGCAGTCATGTATAGCGAAGCTCAACAGCCAAAGGACACGTTACGAGTATCCAGAGCTCGGCAAGCGTGCTTCAGAATCGCCTCTCTCTGATGCAGCGGGATCTGATCGTTGATGAACTCGCTGCCGATGCTGCTTGCGCCTGCGATCAGATCAAACCGTGAAGCAAATCACCGGCACCCTCCGCCCGTGGTCTCCACGCCGCTGATAAGCCCTGGAGCCTGAGTACGCACTCCTGGTGCTGTTCTTCTGCGTACTCGCAGCGCTCGCGGTCTGGCCAAGCTTGCAAAATCTCCAGGCCCCGGCTTATCCCGGCAGCAACAGCTCCGGCCGCGCCTCCAGGTTTCCGAGCTGGTCCACAACCTGTAAGCAAGACGGCTCATAGCTTGCAGCTTCTGATTCAGCCCATGTCCATGCGCTCAGCTCAGCATTTTCGTCTCTGGCAGAAGGTCCGTCTGGAAAATCGCTGCCGATCGCCCTTGTTGCCGAAGCTGGTCAAGGTGCACCACGTCTCTCGTGCGGGCTTGATGCGTCACGGCAGATCACCGCAACTGCCTTCAACTTGTCGGCGCTTTCATGGGCGCGCAGCCAAAGATGTCCAGGCCGAGCATCCCCTCAACGCAGAGCAACACGCACCACCTGTGGACTCGTTCCAGCCAATCGCCTTTGCCGGCCCGCTCCCCCACCTCTTGAAGTAACCTGATGCCTCTGTCCCTTTTTCTTGGCTCTTTGCAAAGAAGACAGAAGCAAAACTAGCGGCGAATGGCCCAATTCCCGAACTGTGCAGTAAGACACTACTAGATAGGATCAACTCTGTTGCAGCCAGGGCTCTTGGAAGGTTATAAGTTATATGAGTCAGCTCCACTGATATTGTAGTTGCTCCAAGCACGCCTGCCATGCGAACATGTGACCGAACCAAAGAGCATCCGAGCACTTGAAGACCGTTCAGTACAAAGAGCCAAGCTTCTCTTGGCCTCTGCTGCCGCCGGCGAGCCGCCCGCAGCTTGCAGCTGCGCACCGAGCTCCTCTGAGCGCAGGCGCTGCGAAGCCTCCCAGCAGTGCAAGTGCAGCAGAAGAAGACTTCGCGGTGTGGCGCAGTCTCTCAGTCTGAGCTCGGAGCTGCGGCGCTTCCAAACATTGCAGCATGTCCAGCCTGGCAGAAGTCAGAAGCCCAATCTTCAATTTTGCTGGTACCAGGCTTTCCCGCTTACGCTGAGGCCGCCTGCGCGATGGCTCCAGCTGGAGCCTCCATGGGCTTCCACAACACGACGCCAGCACCACGCCCTCAGGACTCGATCACTGTACCAGCGCTGCCAGATACCGAAACCCTGCCGAGGAGCTCTCGATGAGCTTCGCCATTTGCTGATCATCCTGGCAACACAGAGAGCTTACTGATTACTCTGACGAAGGCAAATCCACACATAAAAAAGAAGCATCACAGGGCAAGATGTGCTTCGGCCGAGTGTCAGAACTGCAAGGGATGAGCACCAGGGGTAGGCCAGCCACTAAGCCTTCCATAACACTGTTGCCGCCACCGTGCGTTATGAATGCACTCGCTCTGGACAACGCATCCATCTGCGCAATACCTGGAGCGGACAACCACGGCACAGAAACAGTGGCAAGTTTCATGAGGCAATGTCAGGTTGCCGTGAAACTAGAGCTTTAGGGCTTTGGAAGGCGTGTCGCTTCGGCGCGCGATGAAGTTGCCCGGGATTTTGCCGAGTCCTTCGCAGGCATCAGGCTGAGGCCCGATGGAAATCACCACGCGGACGTCGTTGCGGCCACGGAAGTTTTCGACCAGCTCGCGCCAAACTCGTCGGCTGAAGTCACGTCCCGTGACCGGCCCAGACTCCGACGATCCCTGCACGGCGTTCCAGCCATCCCCGACGATGTGGGAGCCAAGGCTCACGACCAGGATCTTCACTCCACCAGGTAAAGGCATCCGCCAGGGACAGTCTACTGCCGAGACATCACTTGGCAGTCGGTGCAGTTTGTTGGCATCTCTCACAAAGACCCCGTTGATGTGGTGTGTCTGATTTCCGGTGAAACCAACCCATACGAATGCAAGCTCCTTCATCCAGGACTGGTCCAAAGTTTCGTCACGTTCGATCTGGGGAATCGAAACGACAACGTTCAAGCAGCGGCTGAAGTATCTGCATGGCAGAAACTCCTTGATGCAATTTGTGCCAAACTCATCCTGCGCGATCGCGTTTGCGGCCTGCACACTCTCATGCTCCACAACGGCTCCTGGCCACGACCCTCGCTGCTCATCTGACAAGCAAGCTGGATAGCGATCCACCAAGAAGCACGGCACCACTGCAACACATGGTATGCCAAGCTTGGCTGAAACAAGACGCGGATGCAGGTCTGCAACGCTATAGATGACGAGCGAGGGTACCCACGCGCCCGGTGCTTCCCACAGCTGCAGCAATCGTCTCGCCAGGCAAACTCCCGCCGGTAAGGCATAGAAATATCGCTCTAACTCAATGTGCTCCTTTACCACTGTAGGAAGCTGCACAGAGTGCCACCACGGTGCATCTTGAGCCAACAGACCCGGCCAGGAGCCACAGAAGTCATCGAATAGCTCCGTGGCAGCGCCAGTTTGTTGAATCGCTTCCTCAAACGCAGGATCTGTGATATAATATCGCACTTCACATTTACGCTGAACCAACTCGGAGACGATCGGCAGAAATCGGTTCACGGTCCCAACTGAGGACGAGCTGAGCACGGCTACACGTGGGCATGCCATCAAGCCAAAGCCAGATCATGAGTACCTCTTCTTGATACAGTCATCATGGGTGCAGCACGGAGGGCTGCAATGCAATGAGTTGCTGGGGTTTCAGAGTATGTCACAGTTCTGAGATGAAAGTTCAAGGAGGGACTTTTGAGCTCAAGCACTTGCTTCGGCGCCGGAGTTCGGAGGCAGACGCAGCAGCACATGGACAATGACAGGCCCAGCAAACAGTCGAGAGCAGATTGTAAGCTGGCGAGAGCGAAGTGAGACAAGCACGTCAGGATGCAGACATAAGGGCCTTCTTGGACAGGCGAGGAACCTCGGCAAGTGCAAAGGCAGAAAGCAGTCCGAGCACGCACGATCCGGGCTTCGCAGGTCCCTTGTGTTGGGATGCCATCCTTGTGACAATCCGTCGTTTTCGGAGGCTGCGAGCACCCCACCATGGGGTGTCAGAGGCTTCAGTCCTGGATCATAGCTGTTCTCCATTTCTGGGACTCCGACTGATGCTGCAGCTGCAGTCGTGCCAGAACCTCACACGACAACCCTGAACCTCAATGCTCTTGATCCAAGAAGGCCCACTGCTTGGGGTCAGCATGTATGGATACTGATACTGATAGCAATGAGTACCTTTTCCAAAGATATTCATTCTCCTGCAGGCGGCTCTGACATCTTTGCAGAGCCGATGACCGTCGCATACCACTTCACTACCGCTACGCTAGCGTCACCAACCAAACCATGAAGACGAGCTCTCCTGCGAGTGGGGCAGGGGATAACTTTCATGCTGAAACTGGTGCAACACAGGTCCCCTACGCACTGAGCCGGTCAGCTTTGAATGTGCCTGCGATTTAAACTGCTGCACTCGTAGGGGTCGCGAAGAGCCTGTGGTATGTCGCATGGCTTGCATAGCGGGCAGTAGCTGTCTGCGTCCATGCCTCCCGCATGAGGATAAACACCCACTTGCCCCTGCAAGGCCTCATGTAACGCTGGAAGGCAGTCATTATGTCTCCATGTGTCTCCATGCGTCTCCGTTTGCCACGCCGAGGCCAGAACGGCTTTTGCCGAGTCGACGTCCACAAACGTGACCTTCTGCCGTTGACGCGACCATGCATGTTCCAAGTTCCAGTTTGCCAGATTTCCCAAGTCCGTCGCGAGATAGCTGGAGTCAGCCCCAGTAACCGTCTTGTCTAGCCTGCAACTCTGGCGCACCCGCTTGCAATGCAGCCTGCACGGCAAAACACGGAGTTCCTCTTTTGTGTTCCATGTGCGCGGTAGCTGAGGTCCTGCTAACGACATGGACTGTCGAGCAGCCTGCATCTATGGGCATCGATCATCCTATCTGATGCCCCATAACCATCATGCGCTCATTCCGCCGGATTCAGCAGGATGTCGAGCACGCAGCACGAGCACAAAATGCCGCTAGAGATGGCCAGCGCAGCGGAAATCCTGGGAGACATCTTGCTGTGACAAGTTGGGCGTGTCAGCATTGAATGCAGCCGGGTCCGTCATGGAAGTGCTTCAGACAGGCATCTTTTTGGACACCGCTTGGAGGGCCTCCTCCTCTTCTGTCATGAGGCTGATCTGCACACACTTCCAAGATCACATCCGTGAGCTGTTTGGGCTTCACAAGCTATCAAAGCTGATGCACCAACAACTCAACCAGCCTTCATCTGACGTGCCATGTCCAGTGTCTTGTTGTTCTCGTCTGCGCAAATGCAGCTGTACTTGTAGTACGTGGACACAGCCTCGGTCTGCCAATGAGTATCTAAGCTTCGGTCACTGAACCACTTCCAGGAGTATTACAAGCCTAGATTCAACCTACCTCCCGCCGCTCCTGTCTCGCATGTCTTTCCGTCCATTCGTAGGATAGGGCTCCGAATGTTGGTATGTCGTGGGCAGTGGCCACGTGATGTATGAGTTGCAAGTTCATGGTCTGACTGTTCAACCAAACAGGCCGAGCAGCCAAGACCGCGGTGACCATGGCGCTGATGGGTGCTGTCTCTCGAAATGCCGCCTAGGAAGTGTACACCATCTCGTAGCGTAGTGTTCATGCAAAGCACTGCAAAGCACACCTGCATGATATCATCTGTCATGCCATGCGGCTAGGAGGGCTGCACAGAGCAGCAACACAGCCGAAGCGACTCGATGTCCCTTCACCTCTCAGGTCCCGACCCCGACAAAAGCTATAGGGATTCTACTCAAGCCGACCACGCGCTGAAGGGGAAGAAGGAGATGCAGACGTGTCACACAAGCATAGGCAGCGGCAGCGGCGACAGCCGCCGCCTCCAGCAGAAGGAGCTGAAGAAGCGCCACGGGCATGGCTGAAGATGTGTAGCTTCGGCTTTCTGGCGTGAGCGCCTGTCTGCCCTTGGCCAGCTTAGCCCATGTCTCCGCCCCGAAGCTACCTGTGCTTGCTTGCTGGACCAAGCCGGTAAGCAACATGTAAGCACCTGCATTGCAAGTGCAAGCTGCTGCACTCTCTGTTCTGCGATGCATTTCCCTTATAGCTAGCTTGACATCGCCTCCAATGCTGTCTCTCTCTCAAGAGCCAATGGCACTCGCGACGGGCAGAGGCCTCTTATCGCATGCATGTCAATGTGAAGACTCGTGGTCCTGGCCTTGTCACCCGCACAACAGGCGCATACCTGCAAAGAGGAGGTCACTAATGACGTGGCTGCACTGGTAACCGGTAGTAGCCCTGGTCTACTACAGCAGAGCTTCCACGAGAAGTGAGCACCCACTTCGAGTGAAGTTGCCTCAAAAGTCCACCGTGAAGGGTTGCATTTGGGCCCACTTCTGTTCGAATACATGCCCGACCACTTGCACCTGACCTGAGGCAGTCGCCGCAAATGGCAGATTCGCCACCAGCAGTGTTGATTCCTCCTCGAGGCCTGCAGATGCAACTGGCAAAGGCATGGCTTTGAAGCTCTCTGCATCTTCCACCCTGGCTGCTAGGTTATCTCTGCCTAGGTACTCGGCAAGTGAGCAGTGCCTTTCCAATGTCGTGGGTGTTGCACCACTGTTTCAAAAGCCAAACACCCTTGTGAAGAGGAGATGCTGTCAAAAGTCAAGCACCGGTAGAAATCTGTATCGAGCTTGCCTCTGCTACAGGGCCTTGCTCAGATTCGATGCTGCTGCATCACTTAGCAAAGCAACACGAAGCCACCAAGCTTCCTCCATCTCCCAAAGTCAGCGCAGGCTCTGTTGGGGACTACAAACTCAGGGAAAGAAACAAGCTAGACTCAGCTAGACTCTGACTGCATTAACAGCGAGAACTCCCAAGCATGCGGCCTGCAGGCAGCTTCGCAAAGCCTGCAGACACCTTCCGGAAGGCGAAGATTGAAAGCAAGCGGGAGGAGCATGCCACATCAGGTGCGACACGACGGACCCCCCACAGCTACTCTGAGGAGTTAGCGACTGTTGTGAGGACTTTGTCTGCTTCAGCCTCGGCATCGCCTGGCAATCATATTTCAGATGACTCTTCCGCATCAACAGGGAGAAGACTTTTTCGTATGCGTTACTTCTCGCCCCCTGCTACTGGAAAGCCTCGTAACCTTCTTGCATGGCAATCTCGACAACGTGCGAATTGGGGGAGTTGGAACACTCGGGCGGCGGGCAAGCTCCGGGATACAAAGCGCCCTGGCTCGGCAATGTGCTGCCATCTGCCTCGAGGTGTCCCCGTCCCCGATCCATGCAGTTGGCTACCTAGCAGGAAGCCGCTTTGGGTCCTGCGTGGTGCTCGACGCGACTGTACAAAGACTTCACAGGACTCACATGGACCAGATTTCGCGAAAGCCCTCCGGGATGTGACGCCAGGCCATGGCCTCACCACAAAATGCTGAAAAGTCGCCGGTTCGCCAATGAGCAAACGAGTGCCTCTGCATGCGTCTCGAAGCTGCGAAGAGCCTCGAGAGGCTAAAGAAAAGAAGAGAGACTTCGCACCGAGGACAAGCCTCCACTTCGGCTTCCGGGGGCGCCCATGTGGCTGCCCAGGCTTCTGCGAAACGCTCCTGCATGAAGACACATGCGGCCGCGGCTTCACGGCTTCGCGCCGCCATCCGGCATCCCTTTCTGGTGCCTTGAGCTTGGTGCAGAAGTCGGCATAGTTCCACCTTCAGAGATTTCGGGGATGCGGTCAACACAAGGCGAAAGACCCGCTGAGTCCCCGACAGGCTTGCCTGAATCAACTCAGACCTGGGAGGTTCGGGGCTCAAAGGAGCTTTGCTGCGTTGTGGCCGCAACTTATCGCATGAAGCATCCGAATTCCATCTTCCACCTCGCTTCATCCGGTCTTGCGCTTGAGTCTGTCCAGCCATGCAAAGGCTGGGGTGAACTCAAAAAGATCGTTTCGACTTCAGCTCAGACCGAGTTGTCCAAGTTGCTCAGCTGCCGTCTGCGGGTCAGGGATGAAACCCCATTCACCCCATGTTTCAACTGATTTCGCGTTCCAAAAAATGCTGCTGATCACCTGTGAAAATACTACTGTTGGCCACAGCTAAGACAGCGACAGGGCATGCACGTTAACCTCCACCACGACTCCACAACACAGCACCCCGAAAGCCTATCGGAACTACAATAGCCCGATGGTCCTTCCCCGTGAGGAGCTCCGCTGCAAGGATGCCAGATGTTGCAAACATCGCAAAGCGCCCATTGTTCAGCTCCTGGCCCAGACAACGGGAAGGCTGACTTTGACCTGTTAGACTCGCTTCTTTGCGGCAGCACATGGCAACGAAAAGAGCTCCTTGTCCCGCATGTCCCGGTTGTACATGTTAAACCCAAGGGGATCTCCGAAGTTGCCAGGCTCCTTCCAGGGATCCTCTTTCCAAACGAGCCACTCCATCAGCATGGAGCCGATGACCACCAGGCCAAACATCCACAGGGAGGGAACCAGAAGGGCAGCCTTGTAGCCAGCCGGCGACTCCTTTAAACCCAGGAAGGGCAGGCGGATGTAGCACTGGGCCACAAGGCCTACACTTGCCAGCATGGCCACACGGCCGTGTTTTAGCTCCGCTGCCCGCAGTTGCTTGAACTTGCCTTCATCACCAGAGGGACAGAATCCCAGAGGATCAAAGAACCCCAAGGGTGCCATCGCACCGGGCTCAAGAGTCGGGTCGAAAGGTTGGCGACGTGGCCTTGGCTTGGCCTTCTGGATTTCTCGCGATTGCGCCTCGCTTTCTTCTTCATCTCCTGCATCGACTTCATCGGGCTCCACTTCGGCTTCACTTGCCTCTGCTTCCACCTCCGTCTCCGTCTTCTCCGCCTTTCGAAAGATTCTGCTCTGACGCGCAACTCTGCGACGAACTCCAGAGACAAGCTTCAGGGCGGGAAGAGACAGTGCAGCGGCGAGCACTCTGTGCACACCACTCCGGCAAGCGTCAACCTTCACTTTTGTCAGCGGTCTCGCCGAATGAGAGATCGGCACAGCGACAGGAGCCGCAGGAAGTGCGGTTACCACCACGCTTGGTGCAAGCATGGCTCGCTCCCGGCTCAATGGGCACTAAGCCTGAACTCGAAATGTCATCACGACTGCTCCGAATGACATCTAAGTTTTCGTCTGATGAATACTGAGCCATCTTCTACGCTCGGCCCCCTAACGCTGCAGAGGCGCGGTGCGCTGGCCAAAGCAAAAACAACGATCAGCCCTTCAGTAAGCTGAGTGTGAGGCGAACCTCTGTCCAAGGTCACAACCTGCAAACAACACCGACCGTTAGAGCACTTTCAGAACAAGCTAATGATCAGTTTATCAAATGCCTCCCAAGAAAGGACATGGTCGAGCATCGCAAGTAAGCATTCGACCTGACCGAAAATCAGCATGTCTCCAACCGTTTCCGATGCCGCCAATGGCGCAGAAATTGGCACTCGACCGCTCTGCTTAAGGCATGGACGCACTTGAGCTCTTGGCGCGGAAGCACAGCCTACACACTGGAGGCAATGATCATAATTTCGCATACCAACACTGCCGCCAAAAGAATATGACGGCCATGATATCAGGACTGACGCTGGTGCACCTGATGGTGCTGACCACACTTGACATTGATGATGACAACAATAGCCGACACATGATGCTGATCATGATCGTCATGATGTCAATACGAAAAACTGTAGTCTATTCGCAGAACTGACACTTGCATGGACGTGCCTGGACATACTCGCTCTCCACATGTCTGGCCAAGTCGCAGACCACATGCCGCAAATCCTGCAAAATGCTTGGAGCGCGCAGTGGACTAATGGATTGAGGTCATGGGCAAAAGCTCTGTCCTCCCTCCAGCGATTGTGCCAGCATAAGTGCAGATGCGGCAACCCGTAGGAGGTGCAGGCACCCCAGTTCGGCGTGTGCGGATTGTAGTCTAGCCAGAGCATGAAGCAGAAAACCACATCACCCCAAATGCGCAGCCTGACGAAGGTGTCCTCCGAGGGAGCTTGTGCTGAGGACGATGATGCCGCAGACGAAGATGGTATCTCGTGGCTGCCATCACTGCACAAAAGAGCAGAGAGCGCAGCATGGTGCTTGATCCGGGCGTTCGTCCGCCAGATCGACCCAGTATAGACATGTGGCATCCCTTTGAGCTGTGGCGAGAGGTGCCAATGAAGCGCATCCCAAATTTCTGTCACCGCCTTCCGCCATGAATTGCTTATGTTGTCGGAAGCCGCAACACGGAGGACAAGCTGATGCCGGATCCGATCGCGGACTGCCTGCTGCAAGCGCTCTGCCTGTTCAGGCCGATGTTGTGCAGCTTTCACGAGGGCAAGTCCTCCAACCACAACGGCGGCACCTGTTGCAGTGCCTGCCAAGAGCAGTGGGGACTCCGTGGCTGCAGCGGTGGCCGCTGCTGCAATTGCTCGCGCACCAGTCAGAGCCGACGAGGTCATCACCCGAATCAGATCCAATGCTAGAGTAGTACCCCACACTGTGAGGATTGGATTGGGAAAATTTCTGCGCTGCCAAAAGTTTGCATCGTCAGGGTCGAGATCATCATCGTCCTCTGAGTCCCCGTGCCAACGCACACGACAGAATGGACATCTGCGCAAGTGGCCATAGCAGTGCAAGCACAAGGATTGACCACAGCAGTCTAGCTTCTTCTCGGCATGTCGGGGCGGATCTCCGCCTCCTCCTTCTATCTCCGGAGTCTCCATCCACCTCTCATATGTCTCGAAACAAATCGGACAATCATTTAACGGATCCATCCCGACGGGCTCGGGATCCTGGGATCGGAGCGTGGACGCCTCCATAATTCTATCGGTTCGCGTGGCTGCACAGCTCCCGAAAAAACCCGAGGGCACTGGTTGGTCATGAATTGCATTGGTCGCTGCTGTTGGCACAGATTTACAAAATGCGCGGATGACTGTGCAGTCATGATGCAAACGTGCCACGTGCCTATACTTGCTGAGAGAACCAAAAATAATCAATCGGCGAAGCTGACGAACGATGAAGTCCTGATGAGGACTACATCAGTGGCATGTAGTGACACATGGACTGGCAAATGCTGTCAAGACTGACACAGCACCCCAACAACAAGCCGTATTGACCTGAAGCTGCCATGTGAGCGGGCCAATGCGGCTCCACGAAGTCTTTGTAATCGAACCCTCTCTGTCATCGACACCCTTACTGAGGCGGACCCATGCACTTGCATCGCACACTTCAAGGCTGTGGTGAGAGATATCTAGGCGAACTGCGGAACATGTCAGGAACTGATCTGATGACGCATGAAGCCGCTTCACCGCAACAACGTCTAGGTCTGTTAACATCAAGCTTGAGCCTCCTCAGTCGTAGCGGCAAAGTGCCCGGGCATGCAAAGATGTGCCACTGGTAGCATGCGCTCGTGAGCCGAGTGAAACAGCTTGGCCAGTAAGGTGTCTGCCCGGGCTTCTGCTGTTGCCTGACCGGCAGAGACCGGTCGGATTCAAACTGCTCTCAAAAAAGCATCAGCGACATTGTGCACGTCGAGGCGCACATCAACACGCGTGTGCTGCAGTGCTGCGTACGCGGGTCGACTGCCAGCCTGGTGAGCGCGAAGGCGAAGGCTGCCCCTGGTCGGCACACAAAGAACAGGCAAGATCTTACAGGATCAAGGCCTGCCAAGGCCTGCGAAGGCGATGAACTGATCGTCGTAGCAACCTTACGTTACACATCAATATTGTGAGACGCCTCTCAGAAAGCAATGCCTCTGTGCATTCAAGACTCGTTTGCAGGTTTTGGGCAAAGCTCCATGGAGCAGCATAGCCTCTGGCAGTGTCATGCAAGAATCGCTGAAATTGGCTATATGAAGCTTGCTGCTTGTAGTTGCAATAAGGCCGCGACGCCCACATCAAAACGACCAGTGCATCAACACATCCATGATCACATGCCGGCGCTTTCGCTGCATGCTCAACCAGGTTCGTCTTGTTGTTGGCATGTCCATGTTTACAAGATGTGACTGCAATCGATCATGAAACCGCAGACCTGTTTTGTATTTCATGGGTAGACGGCATCTCAACAGTGCCACATCATATGCCACGCTTTGCAAGCAGGTTGGCACGTGTCCTGGGCAAACACATTCCGCATGAGTCATCGCGGCTTCGAAACACGGGCGTCCAAACCATATAAATGGGCCTGCAGTAACCAGCCCAACATCGTGTTCAGAATATGCATACAGTTTATAGACATTGACGTAATGAACCATTTTGTGTTTGCCCGGTCAGTGACTGAGCGCATAGGCGGAAGATGAATTCAACGAATTCAATGCAAATTTGAATGCCATTAAAGGGCAGTGGCGAGGCCACCTCAAGAGAACGGCGGACTGTTGTCGTGGGAGCGGCTGCCATTGCAAAGACAATAACGAAAACAACTAGACATGGTTTGCTTCCCGTCGAGGTTCACAAAGATCACAAGCATTTACGAACAACAGATGACGAAACCGGAATTTGCAAAACGGTGACGTTTTAGGTAGGCTTGCACTGCTCTAGCACTTACGCTCTCTTTTTGACCGTGTTGGATCGCAGGCTGGCGGCTAGCAGAGGGCCGACCGATGCAAGAAAGGCTTGATCGGTCGAGTAGGAAAATCTCCCCTGGCTAGTCTTGGTGAAAGAAAACGAATGAAAGAGGCTTGCGGTCGTTGTGAATTCAGGCTAATGTGAGGGCAGTATGCGAAGCACGTAATGCATAGTGTTGAAGGCTGCGGCAGTGTGTGACCCCATAGGCTGAGGGCAAAAGGTTAACCCGGTAGCAGGCGTCCGGGGCTTATTTTGGCCGGGGCGGCCAGTTGGCGTGAGACAGGCAGGGCTAGTGTGAGAAGTCACAAGGCTGGTCAGAAGTCGAGGTAGGCGTCCACGTCGAGACCTGAGCAGAAGGGTTCGGGAGGGAAACCGACGGGTAGGGCTTGCAGCTCGCGGCAGACGTGACGAAGAAGAGGACCTGGAAGCAATTGGAACGCCGTGCGAAACTCAAGGCATTATTTCCCAACGAAACTTTCGTAACCGCACGTTTCAGGGAACCCTCAACTGCACTGCAGTGAAACCCTGTGCAAAGCACTCCTTTTTTCTCCTAGCGGATATGGGGGGTGAGTTCGGACCCGATCTTCGGGCAACTGTACAGAGAGGATGGCCACTGGCATCTCTCGTAAAGACGACCGCTGGTCGCAGGTAAGGCGAACGACTCGTCCACCCCCCCCTACAAGGGAGACTTCCCGTACAACAGGAGTTTAGGTGAAACTGTAGCTGACCTGAAAGGTCACTGCAAGCTACCTGTAGCTACGCAGAGGAAATACTATTCCACGGCCTACGGCGTATGTACAACTGCATGGGCACTCTGTGCCTAAAGAAAGGATATCCCTGCTAGGGATAACAGAAGGAGCTCTGATCCTGGCAGCTCTGCTGCTTGCAGGTACGTATACGTAACCCTGCATACTATACAGGGTGCGGAGGGTGGGACAAAAAAAAGAAAACTAGGATCACAGATCCTAACTTCAAGCCGAAAGCTGCACCGCAAAGTGTTGTCTAGTGTTCTCAACACGCAGTGAAAACACTGTTTTCCTTTTCGACAAACTTTGTCTACACTTTCGGCGGGAAATAAAACTCATTCACGCACGCATGATGGAAGCTTAAAGGCCGGGGCATAGGCTGCTGAGCAGGGATCTGCGGCTAGATCCGAGGTTGTCTTGTGCAACCTGAAGGCAAAGGGCTATCGATCGGCTTTGCAATCGGTAGCAACGGCTCTTGGTGCGCCGCTCGGCGCTGAAGGCTGAAGACCTGGCAAGGCGCTCTAGGTGTGGGTGGGCGGGGCTTTTCGAGAACGCAAGTGCTAGAGCCAGGCTACACGAAGGCATGTATGCATGTTACCTGTAGAGATTCGCAAGCTCCGAAAACATTCCTGAAACAAAACAGGTAACGTTTTAGGTAGGCTTGCACTGCTCTAGCACTTACGCTCTCTTTTTGACCGTGTTGGATCTGTAGGCTGGCGGCTAGCAGAGGGCCGACCGATGCAAGAAAGGCTTGATCGGTCGAGTAGGAAAATCCCCCACTTTAGGAACAGATCCAACCGGTAAACAAGGCAGGCCGAATGAGTAGTCCCCCACCGCGGGCGGTGGAGCTGGACCTGAGCGAGGCAAGAAGTGACGGCAGCTATTCTGAGAGGCTAAGATAAGACGCGAATCCTGAGAGATATCGGTCTTTTTTGTTCCTGGTGTCGGGCAGGCTCTGCTTCTTGGGCTGACTTGGTCAGTCCGATCGAGGTAGAAGTGGGCTGACTGTCTTTGGGGTTCCATCCCAGGTGGCCCGAGAGGCCGCAGAGGCGAGGCGTTCAAGGCTGATTCTCACCCGCTCTTGCGGTCTATGGCTGAAGGCTTGAAGACGTCCTCGGCTGAGGTCGTCTGCCCACTGATTATGTGCCCCTGCCACGTGGGACACTTGCAGGTCAACCCCATGGCAGGATGACCAAGAAGCTATCAGCTGAAGGAACTGAGAGAGCGGCCAGCTGGTAGTGAAGAGCTTGTTGATGCCTGCTTCGGAAGGCGTGTTGTCGCTCTGTGAAGGCAAGCAGACGGAGAACTGCGAGAAGGCGTGGCGTTCTCTGGCCGTCATGGCTAGGGCTAGCTGGGCCAGGGTTTCGAAGCAGGCAATCTTTGGTGAGGAACGGCCATGTGCTTCTGACCTCCTCCATGCTCCAGGCTTCGGCAAACCAGGCCATACTTTGATTGGTGGTGATCCACCCCCCTATGCCAACCCTGTCCCCTTCGGCCATGGCATCTGCCCGTGCAAGGCAAGGCACAAGCGGCGGGAGGGACAGGCTGTTATTTTCCAACGAAACTTCCGTTAGCGCGCGTTTGGGAAACCCTAACTGCGCTGCAGAGGAACCCTGTGCAAAGCACTCTCTCTCTCTCTCTCTCTCTCTTTTTTTCTCCTAGCGGACATGGGGGGTCAGTTCGGGCCCGATCTTCGGGCACTGAAGAAACGATGCCACTGGCATCTTGACGGAAAAACTCGACCGCTGGTCGATGGTAAGGCGAACGACTGGTTCACCCCCCCCTACAAGGGACTAACCCGTACAACGGGACAATAAGGTGAAACATTCTCTGACCTACTGGGTCACTGCAGCTACCAGTTGCTACTCTGTAATCAGACGGCCTACGGCCTATGTACAAGAGCGCACTCTGTGCTGACGCCTCTCTGCTAGAGAGAACATAGGAGCGCTGCTCCTGGCAGCTCTGCTGCCTATGCGGTGTCCCAGACCCCGCATACTATACAGGGTGTGGTGGGTGGGATAAAAACTTTTTGGATCACAGATCCAACTTCAAGCCGAAAGCTGCACGGCAAAGCTTGTCTAGTGTCACTCACACACAAGTGAAAACACTGTTTTCCTTTTTCGACAAACTTTGTCTACACTTTCGGCGGAAAATAAAACCCATTCACGCACGCATGATGGATGCTTATTTTCCAACGAAACTTCCGTTAGCGCGCGTTTGGGAAACCCTAACTGCGCTGCAGAGGAACCCTGTGCAAAGCACTCTCTCTTTTTTCTCCTAGCGGACATGGGGGGTCAGTTCGGGCCCGATCTTCGGGCACTGAAGAAACGATGCCACTGGCATCTTGACGGAAAAACTCGACCGCTGGTCGATGGTAAGGCGAACGACTGGTTCACCCCCCTTGAAGGCACTCGAAGCCTTACTCACCCCCCATTCAGTCCGCGCCGAGTGACAAAGCCAACGGCACTG